CATATAAGTGCTTGCTTCTAATCTTTTCTTGAAAGAGGCGGAGATGGACTAAAGTGTTAGGAGCCACTTTTAACACATAAAATGACAAAAGTAAAAATGACAGCTAAGCCAGAGGAAAATATGGGCCATGCCTCAAACTTGCCTAAGAATCTACACACAGGGACAAAATTAATCAAGTACCTTATTTTCCATACTGACTCCTGCATAATGTAATTTAGAATTGGCCATCTTCCCTTAATTTTAGATGAGAACGGGGAACAGGAAGAACAAGGAATAACAAGGAATACAGTAGTTTGTGGATAGCTGGAGTGAGGCCTGGGCTTCCATCTGATGCTGTTTTCATTAAGTTAAATGTTCTTTATGGTGGTGGGGGTGGGGGTGGGGGTAAGACTACAGAGACCTTGACTTTTTACTTTACTGTGTTCCTCTCCTAAGTTAAATGACTCTTCTTCAGTGGTCGTGTGGTTGGTGGGGAAAACGTCTACCCCACTTCACTACTAGCTCAGTTGTATTTCATTATTTTCAGGGACCATGGCTAAAAAATACCACAAAACACCAGCTAGTTAGCTTTTTGAATTTCTAGAAAAACTTTAAAACTCCACAGCCTATGGACATCATCAAGGATCCTTTGAGAAGGTCATCAGAGCATTTTGCCAAGGATAAGTTACTCCTTCCCTGAATACCAGATTGCACTGGGCCTCAGGGAACAGCAGCAAAGGCCAAGTCCAAATTCCCACCTGTGCCAGAGAAAGTACACATGTGGAAACAAAGGTTTTTTGCACCAGTACAGAGCTTAAAGATTGCTGAGGAGTCAAGCGTGTGCTGGGCAGCAATGCAATTGTGGATAAAGGCAGAAACCAAGTCAATACCAGTAGGAAGACAAGAACAAAGGAAAAAGAATCAAGATGATTGTTCTCTACTGATGAATGTGTAGATTGATGCTTTGGTGCTGTCCTGAATCTGCTGTACATCAGAGCTAGTTTATAAATTCCCTGACAGTGTCTAATACTAATGCCCAGTCTGCTCAAGTATGTCTACCCCAGAAATTCCAGTACAGCCTTCCTGACCAAGCACAAGATGGTGATCAAGGGTTACATTTTTCCCCATCATTTGTAGCAAAGCCCTTCTTGGAAACCTCTGGTGGGAGAGCAGGTTTGGTGGGGGAGTTGGAAGCACCTCTAAGAACAAGTTACAGTTTTGCAATAAACCTGGATGTCAGGACTCAGACCTTGAGCTGGGGACACCCAAGGACCAGTCTATCACTGACACTCCTGCATACAGCCACTAGGACATTTTTATAGAGCAAGCATCTGATGGGCTCAGAGATAGAATACTCCCTGGAGATAGACCTCAGTGAGAGTGACAACAGGAAATCAATGGAAGAAAATGATTCAACTTCACAAATGTATCAAAGTTACCAGTTTAAAAGGCAACCATCATTATTTCCAGTTCTCTATGTTTATCAATAATAAGACAATGAACATCTTTGTTATTGTTTGGATTTTAGAGGTTTCCTAAAGACCCACATACTAGAGGCTTGGTTGCTAGTCTGTGGCACTGGAAGTGGTGGTGCCTTTAAGAGTGGGGCTCCATAGAAGGGAGGTAGTCAGTGAGGGCATGCCCTTGAAGGAGATATTGGGATCCTAACCAATATAAAGAAAATGCCTTCTTTATTTTTTGAGGAAATAATATTATAAAAAAAGAACACATGGGTCGTTTGTAAAGAGCCCTATTAAATGCCAGGCAATGAACAAACCAGGAACTTCGCTGCAAAATTTCCTAATTAGTTGAACAGCCCATATCCCTGGCAAAGTTGTTGTCCTGGCTGAAGAAGCTATGGAAGGTTCTCTATCCAGAGGGGACATTAATATTTAGGTTCTTCATCTTTTCTCTCTGCTCTGATGATATTCAGTAGTGACATAATGTTTGCAGGGATAAAAGGCATAGCTTTGAGTCTAAATTTAAATGTTTCTCATGATTTTTCTCATTTATAAACTTATGGATTCTGGGGAGACAAACCTGCAATTTCAGCCTGAAGCGTTAGCAAAGGGTTTATGCAACTGGGTTGGCTTGTTGCATTGCTCCAGCTACCACCACAGCTAACCTGGGCTGTAGTAGGTGGTAGCCATGGTAGGTAAAGACCATGCTCCCAGGAGGTCGGCCTAGGGGGAGGAGGCACTGGGCCTCCAAGATATGCTCATCTACTGCCCAGATCTGGCTGCCCAAGGAGAGTGGGCAACTAATGGCTAAGAGTCTGTGAGAACTTTGCGCTGCCAAGGAAAAATGAGCTGGTGGAATGGGAGCAGAATCCTAGCAGGAATGGTGGTCTAGACAGGAGCATTGACACAGTGAGGGCTAATTCAAAGCCAGTGTTATTCTAAGCATTTCTACATGTGAATTCCTTTAACCTTCATCACAACCCCATGATATGAGGATTAAAATCATCTTTTCTTTACAAGCAAGGAAACTGAGGCCCAAAGAGGTCAGGTAACTTCCTCTAGGTGACCTGGTTAGTAAATGATGGATCCAGGTTTCAGATCCAGGCAGTATAATTGTAGCATCTGAGCTGTTAACTATGCTACTGTTTTGCCTAAATGTAATGGAGCACCAACCCATAGAGCCCTTGTCATTGGAAGCCTTCAGTAGCTACAGTAAACAAATAAAAAAACAATGAACTGTTAGTGATCCGAGGGCCAGGTTAAGACATCAAAAGAAAAATGCCAAGCCCCGGGAACAATCATGATTCCCAAGCACCCTGTGTCAGTCTCAGACTGCCTAAGCACCCTTGGTATTTTGACAGTGAATATGAGGCCCAAGGATGGCTCTTTGCCATTCATGAGGCACTCAGCATTTCTCTTCAAAATTAGAGATCAAAATCATTACAGAAGTTAAGTAGGAAAGAGTAGCAGCTCCAGCAACCTTTTAGGGGCTTGCTGCAAATTATGTGTTGTAAATGCAACAGGCCATCAGCATAATAGCTGCTTCTGCCACAGAGTATGGGCAACTTGCACTTCGAACTCCTTAAATTGAAAAGAAATAAATATGTGATAAAAGAAGCCATGAGATATCATGAACTAATAGAATATATTTCACTCTCCAGAGTGAGGTAAAATAGCGTCATTTGAAAGTGGTTTGAGTTGTTATTATTTTTTTTAAGGTCAATGTGTTGTCACTTGGTAGGCAGAAAAATTCACACATTAATTGTAAGCATTAGACCTGCTGTTTTTTTTCAAATGTATTTATGCAACACACACACACACACACACACACACACTCCCTTATACATTTAGAAAGAAAGCAATCACGTTTTAAATAAAGCTGAGACCTTAAATACATGCTTAACATTTTCACTGTGGTCGTATACTTTTTATTTTTATTCCAGTCCTTTAGGTATTCTGCCCCAATAAACAATTTGAATGACTGGAATAGCTACAAAAGCTCTCTGTGAATATTTTCCCCAAGTGTAAATTATTGGAAGGCTGTTTATATAATTCATGAAAATCTTTAGTCTCGTGTCCTTTTAATCTTGGTGAATCCATCGTGCTGACAGAATACTGCTTTTAGTCTATGCTTAAGGATTGGATTTATTTCTTCAGCTTATCATGAAGAAAAACAGAAATGAAATTGTACTTTCAGATGTATGTAATTTGGCTTCTGCACATATCTGCTGAGGTTTAACGCTTCTGTAGTTTTCTCTCTTGAATTCGTCAAGGCTCAAGCTAAATGGGGGCAGCTCTCTCCATGTAGTTCTGGTGGGTTTTTGACAACATTAACTTTATCATATAAAGTTCTTACTCATTCACAATAATTTAATTTCTTAAGTGTTGCTTAACACTCACACCTAACCCACATGTGCTGGAAACTACCACAATTAATAAGAATTTTAGGATAACAACATGGTGCAACTATTCTTACTTTTTCTTTTAATGCTCCTCTGTTCTGGTGTTTCTAACCATAACATTTTGGGCTAAGTCCCTTCAGCATAAAAAATGACAAGCTGTTCTATCCCCTTTCTGTCCTGCCGCTTGCTGGCTGCTGAGAGGGTTCTGGAATGTTGATGCCACAAGGAAAGCCATCAAAGAAGCTGGAGAGTGCGCAGGGATGGATGATTGGGAGAGGAATGAGGTCTGTGTTACCTGTTGTACAGACTCACAGAACCTTGGAGTTGGAGGAAGCTTCAATGTCAAACCCATCTATTTCTCCTCTTGTCCAATGCTATTACCTGAGGAGAGGGCTCCAGTACCTCTGGCCCCACAGGGCTGTTTTCACAGCCTCCTGACTGTGTCCTGCGCTTCTACTCCTGCTCCCACTCCACCCCATTCCACCCTGATTTCATTTTCCAAGAGCAGCTGAACTCATCTTTCAAACACAATTCAGATTTCAGTCTACTGCTTAGAACCTTCTCGCCTACTCAGACTGCCACATAGACTTCGGACCGACAGTGTATGGAACCTGCACTGCCTGAATTCTGCTCAATTCCATGTCTTGATCTCACACGGCTCTCTCTTGCTCACGACACACAGTCACACGGGGCTCACGTATATTTCTTGAATACCAGACTCCTTTCCACCTGAAGGCCTGGATGGCCCTCCCCCTTGATCTTCTGCATGTCTGCTCTCATTCTATGGAACAGCTTTCAATCAATAAAGAAGCCCAGGAAAAGGAGCACCCCCACCTTTCACAGCAACATGGCCACATCCCTCTGTTTCATTTTCTTCCAAACTGACAAATGAATGAAGTGCCTTTATTGGAGTCGAGGAGTTGGGGGGTGCAGGGGTGGGGGGATTGGTTGTGGTGCTGCATGGTTTTTGAGGCAAAGTTCCACAACATTGGGCTCATCAGTGATAAGGATGGTTTAGGTTTATCTGCCCAGAGCCTGCGATTTTCAGATTCTTCAGTGTGTCTACAACCATCTTTTGATCTATTTGTCCATTATCTGTACCATTAGAACCAATAAAAACAAGACCCCTTTTTAAAATGCAGGCAAATCAGTCACTTACTTATAGTGGCTCCAGACTCAGGCCTGTTCAGGGAGCTGATGATGACAAAGCCGAAACCCTCGTTCTCTTTGCGGTGAATGACCACGTCACTGGTCTGCAGGCTGTGGGAGGCGAAGCCTTCAGGGGGAGAGGCATTGCTGCTGGGGGCTGCGTGGTTGCTGTTGGTGTAAGTTGCGTAGTCACTGCGTGGAGAGCTGTGGTGGGTCGACACGGAGCCTGGACTCCTCCCGTTCTCAGGGCAGGGCTCCCCTGGAACATATATGCGACACAGGAACTCAATTATTTAACAAAGGTCTTAAAGAATCATTTCTATGTACTAGGCAGTGTTCTGGGCAGTGGCATAGTTACAAGACTGGTTGAGTGGTCCTTGTTCCCCCAGATATGTGAGCATTTGGAGGACTACAAAACTAGCTATGGAGCCTGCCAGGTCTTGGCCCAGTTCTGGCCTTCATAGAACACCACAGGGAAAACCCACCATCAGCCCTCTTGTTGCTGCTGAATTGTATCTTCCTCTTCAGACCCTTGTAATAATGTTTATTTTTAGACATTGAGTTTCTTAGCTGCATAGTAATTGACCAAAGATGACCCCAAACCAAATAGAATCCTCAACTTTACTGCGTATATGAATCACTTATAAGTATACCTTTAGGGCCCATCATGGAACATTTTTTTTTTAAATAGGTCTAGGGAAAATTAGGCACAGGGATCTGGGTCAAGTTTCAAGGCTTTTGAGTAATGGGGCTGTAGATGTTAAGTGGGGCTAACAACTCAGGAGATATCCACATAAAGTTCACTACCATTATTTTTTGAAGAGCCATAGTTCTATTTTATGGTATTCTGCTAGCCTAGAAGTGTTAATTCTCTTCGTGTGTCTGGGAAATATACTGCTTAAAGGCAGTCTGCATGTGTGTCTTTTTTTTGTATGCCCACCATACCTCAATAAAAATAGTTTAAAACAATTTAAAAAATAGAGATTTTCATTTTGTAATAAAAGTAGTTTGTTCACTCTAGGATCAAATCAAATAATATCAGGCTAAGGAATTAGAAATTGTGAATTGCTATGGAGGTGTTGGAGATCTTGCTCATTTACACTCCATATTACAAAATATATTCTATTTCCACCAGATAAAACAAGCCAATACTTCCCCCAAGAAAGCAAGCACATTTATGTGGCAGAGTGATAGAAAGTTGGCAGCCAAGAGAGGCTAGTTTTTGAAATGGAAGTTGATCTGCCATCCAGAAAGAATTTTGTCATTTTAATTTAATACTTAGGTATTGGCACTCTGATTAAAATAACTGAAGCAGGCACCTAGAATACTGTAATTAGAAATAGAACCATTTCATTTCCTTCTTAAAATTTGATTAGTGTACTAAAAGATGTTTTTAAAACAGAGGAACAATAAGATGGAAATGATGACAATCAGTGATTCCTTTTTGGGTCTTTGGATTGTCTATAATTTAGAACACTGGAAGGTGTTTCATATGGCAAGTCAAAAATAATGAGCAAAATTTCCACTGAAGACTCTTCACTTTATAAGCTCCAATTCCATTTGTGCTCTTGTTTGGATCTGAGATGTCCTCCCAGAGCCCATGTGTTAAAGTTTGGGTTTCCAGTCCTTGTGCTATTTTGAAGTGATGAACATTTTAAGAGGTGGGGCCTAGTAGAAGGTCTGGCCATTGGTGATGTTCCCTTGAAACACATTAGGATGCCAATCCCTCCATTCCTTTCTTTTTTACTCACTGGCCATCAGGTAAATGGTATTGATCTTCTATACACTCCTACCATGATGCTTTGCCACAAGTCCAAAGCAATAGGATCAATGAGTTTGATTGAAACCCACAAAACTATGAACCAAAATAAACCTTTTCTCTTCATAAATTGATTTAACTCAGGTATTTGTTACAGTAATGTGAAGCTGACTAACACAATTCTGAAATGAAAAAGAGAAAAAGAACAGAGACTGACAGGATATTTATACCGATAATAAAGGAGCTGCCTTTATTCTTATGTCTAGATTTTAAAAACAGTGTGACATCAATTTAAAATTCAAATAAATGAGGAACAATGAAAAATGTATTACTAAGTAACTAAAAAATTAAGATGTCATTACAAAAATATACTAATTTCTTGTTTGTAATTATAGAATGGATGAGACCTAGGCTACTGTTATTATTATTTGATAAATTGATTTTTTTTCTTTAAGATTTAATTAATAAGGTTTTAATTTTAAAAAGATGCTCTTCATTCATTAAAAAAATGTATTGTAGTCAGAAAAGAACAAAATGTCAATGTAAAAGCCTTTCCTTCTTTTTTAACTAAAATTTAAAATTTCTCCCTGTAAGATGTACTCTCCCTGGCGGAAAACATTATATCCAAAGACAAGCTGTTATTGTCTTGGCAAAGCACATGTCCTTTATCAGTCCTTGTGCAAGTTGGAAATAAAGTGATTAAATTGAAAATCTCCTCAAGTTATTGGACCAAATCAGTAACTAAATGTCATAGGCAGTGACAAGAGAGATCTCATTTTCTGGCTGTCATATTTTAGGGTGTTGAGAGCAGTGGTTGTCAGCAAATCAGCAACAAAGAAGAATTATCTGTCTTTGCAGTAAATAGCTGGGAGTGGCTATACCATAGGTTCTAGAGAGAGAAAGAAAATCACTAAGTTAATGTGAATGGTCCTGGTTAGTGGAAGAGTCCAATACAGGAGAAGTCTTCTCTATTGTTTTTGAACTCCTCTTTCAACATCTAGGAAAAAGAGTTCTTTATCATTAGCAAAGTAAGAGCATTTTAAACTAGGAAGTTAAGAACATTTCCAAGTTCTTTTTGGCTTGTCCTGGGTTCCTGGCATTTGAAAACTGTTAGTGTGACTATCTTTTAGGGACACCAAACACCATTTTTCATTCATCTGGTTCTGGATCTTCTTTCTAACAATCCTTGCTGGTATAGGGAACCAATACTATTGTTTTGGAACAATATAGAAAATGTCATAAACTAACTGAATACCATATGCATTTTTTTTAAAAAACCATGAATTTCCAAGATCCCTGTTGGACTCTCCTGACTCATTCACAAATGGATGTACAGAATTCAGTTACTTAATATTTACCAAAAGTCAAACAATTACGTTTTTGGTTGAGCTTCTGTTTGCTCCCACCAGTGACACTGGAAATCATCACTGTGCTGACTGGGAGAGGCTCTCCTGTCCTCCCGAAGGACTATAGCACTTCAGATGGGCAGATCTTGCCTTCAGGCTTGGCTGAGGCAATGGGGCATGTATGTGGACAGAGCTTGAATAAGTGGGCTGGGTGTCCACATGCATGTGCACCAGGACCTCATGGAGCAGGGGTGGCCCAGGATGTGGCCCTGCAAATGGCCACGGCGGCCTTCTGTGGCATTTGTGTGAGCACTTCTGGTTCATACTCATCGAGATAGACACCTTACTGACATGGGTGACACGCTCATAGACAAAGGACAATGGAAGGCATTTAGAAGGGACAAAGCATAGGAAGCAGGGCCAGGGAATGCACTGTCACCTGAAATACTGGCTGAACTTTTCACTCTGCTTCCAAGAAATCCTTTCCTTTCTCAGCATCCGGCCAAGAAATAGACTTCCCTTTAGGTGTTAGAGAGAGAGATGCTGAAAGCTTTCAGAGGGGCTGTAACATGTTTTGATTAAGCCATTCAACTTTCACCTTCTAGATTTACATTTTAGGAAATTCTTCAGACACTATCCTCTCAAACAAATGGTGTGTACTCAAAATAATTTCATTAGGCTAATCATCTCAAAGCTAAGCTCTAAACATATCAACATTTATAGTTTCAGTATAATAATTAAAGCCACTTTTCCACTATCCTTGAGAAAAAAATATAGCTATTTTTGGAGTGGGTGGCAAACTAATTCAAGGAGCAAGAGCTGTACTACAATTATCTGGTAAAAAAAAAATTGGAGGCACTACTGAATAGTTTGTTCCCTTACTCAACAATTTCTCACTTTGGGGGATCTAGCTTGACATTGCTTAACTGAAAAATTTGCCCTTCTATCTGCAATGTGTACTTTTTAAATAATTTAATATTTGGACTGTCTTTTGGGTTATTTAAATTTTTTCCCCCAATGCTACTAACCTGTCTTTGTCTCATTGTGAATGTGTTCTTTTTCTGGAGCACCAGTTAGGAAGCCAATGCCCTCTGCCTTTGGAGGTGGGGCAGGGCATTTGTACATGCTAAGGCTAGGATAAGACTGAAGGGGGTAATCTTCAGAACTTCTCTCAGCCCCAGCCCTTCATGCATCATACTGCCACTCCTTCGTGTGAGAAGGTGGCAGCAATACCCTCTTCCTGTCTCTCTGTTTCTGTCTAAGCTGATTGCTGACTTCTCTTTAGGTTAGAGCCATCCCATCGGAAGCCAGGCTTGCACCTCCTGCTGCCTTGTTTAGGGAATCAAAATAACAACAACAATGGTAACAATTCTCGAAAAGGCATCTCCATCATCATATCCATTTGTAGTTGTCATTTCTCTGTGAAGAAATGGGAGCCATAAAAAAAGTCATCCTCCTCTGACTTTTAAATCTCGTCCATTCTTTTTTTTTGGGGGGGACATTTACTTTTGCTCTCAAAGTACTTTTCTAAACTTAATCATTTTCAACACTGATGAAGCTTTCAAGGAAGAGTGGGCTGAATTAACTTGGAAACTCTCCTGGTGTGAACGAGCAGTCTACAGCAGAACATTTTCAAAAATTAAATGCACTTGAAATGCACTCAAAAGCCTAACAGAATAAAGTTGGTAAAAACTGCAGCAAAGAGCATCTTTACTGAAGTCACATGATCCACAAATTGCAAGAATACATTTGTGTAGCATTTGGCATATACTCCAACAGCTTGGGTTGATTAGAACAAAATTTAATTTGCAATAATCAGCCAGTGGCAAGGGGAGCATGAAATTATGTTGGTACATTGGTTGTGCACTTTGCTGTATATTTCCTTGTAAATCAGGTATCTTTTTAATTTATCTTTAGGTTACAGAACATATAGCACAGCAAACTTTTTATTAAAAATCACTCTACAGGGAGAGAGACAGTTAAATGTTAACCAAGCAAACACAGTCTTCCTCCTGGCATCTTGCCCAAGGATAAGGCATAACTCAAGGTGTTTTACTTCTTTGGGTCAGGTGATGTGCCATGAATTCCTAAAGACAAATGGCAACTCTTAGTAAAACCTCCATACAATATAAAATATATAGCAGTCTCTACTGGTGAGGGCTGACAATTCTTTTGACTTGTGCTTTTAAATTATTGCCCTTGTTCAAAGTCTAGTTTCTAGAGGATTCAAAAAGAAAAAATATTTAGTCTCACAAATCATGCATTCTCTAGTCATTTACAACCTGTGATTAGCAGGTGGCCCTTGTTTTTTTATTTCAATGTTATATAAAAGCACATATAAAAGTCTCCTTAGGTTAGGGAGTGATATTCATTAAAGGTTTGTCTTTGAATTCACTAGGGTAGGGATGCTGTCTGAAAGTGGGAAGGGGGCCTGAAAGTGGCATAAGGAAATAAGCCTTGGCCCAGAGGTAAGACTTCATTTCCATGTTGTTACCAACTCATTGAAGCCACCAACCCTCTGGGCCTCAGTCTCCTAATCTGTAATGAGAAGAAGCCATGAAGATCCCTCCTAATTCTAGAACTGGATTAGTCTGTATGGGGGATGGTCAAGGGGTTGAACAGAGAGGCCAGCAGGCCCCTGGCACAGAGGTGACAGGGAAACATCATTGGAGTTGCTGCTTCAGTGATTCACTAGACTAGGAATGGGCTGTTCTTATGGAAGATCCATAACCCCAGAGTTATTCAATGTTCATATTACAAAAACAATATGGTGCTTATAATAGACATATTCCGTTAGCATATAAATCTTTTTGGGGGGTTTAGATAGTGATGAGAAGTAAATTAGATCACATTATGAATATGCAGTCTGACTTTTAAAAGTTGTCTTTGGTGAATTCTTTTATGAAGCTAAGAAATGGTTGTGAAGGGAATAATTACTCTAATTTATCTGTTTCATAAGTTTGGAGTCATATGAATTATGTTTTCTCAGAGTGAGAGCTGTATTTTTCAACACAGGCTAACAGTTTTATTGTTACCTTTTATCAGACTCTACAATGAAAGCTAATTTTCCATCCTGGTTTCCTTATTATGGCACCAAAATGCGGTAGTTCTTTGTTTGTAAATACAATGAGGAACATTTTCCAAAGGCATATTTTCCATTATTATAATGTTCTTCTTATAACTAGCATGTACCAAAGACCAAAGAGCATACATATCTTAAAATAGCCTCGGGCTTTGCTAGAAATTTTTAATGACTACATTTAAAATGTAGGTCTCAAAGACTATTTGGATTTTTGTACTAGTGTACTTTCAAAATCATAGTTGCTTTTAGACTATCTGGGTTGTTTTCATTCTCATGTAATACAAAAAGTCCTTTAAAGGTCTGGTTCAAGTGTTCCTATAAAAGCATCTCACCACCTAAGCTCCAACTCTTACTGCCGGCTCGAGGTACCTACCTCCACATAGCACCTTTCTTCTCACAGTGAGGTTAACCTGCCCATTGCGGGCTGCGTGGTGCATGAGGTCAATGACATAGCGGTGGGTCTTGCCAGCCACTGGAATCCCATCGACATAGACGAGCTCATCTCCTGGGTGTAGGCGGCCATCTCTGTCGGCTGAGCCCATGGCAATGACAGCTCCAATCAAAATCTAGAAAAGCAGTGAGAAGGAAGGGACATTCACATTTCAAACATGAGTGTGAATGTGTGTGTGTTTGTGTGTGTGCGTGTGTGTGCGCGCGTATGTGTGTGTGTGTGTGTGTGTACTTGAAAAATGAGAGCCTGGAAGGATGCCCTGCTGATTCTTTGAGGTTGCTTACTTCTAGAGAAATAAATGTTTGGAACTTACAGCTCATTGCCATAAAGTTTAGGGACACCTGCCTCCTGGCTCATAAGTGTTCCCCCTTAGGAAAAATTCCAACTTCAGATAATGATGCTAATTGGCCAGCACACATGAATTCTGCATCGAAATGAGGTGGAGATCAAATCCTGGCTCCAGTTCTTATTTGTGTGAACTTGGGCAAGGCTTCTTAACCTCTGTGAGCCTCAGTTTCTTTACTTGTAAAATGAGGAAAATAATAATAGGACCTATTTTGCAGGGTTATTGAGAGAATTGAATGAAATTATGCATGGAAGGCATTGAACCTTTTTCTAGGCACATAGTGAGTGCTCAAAAAATGTCAAGGGGAATCCAGCTGCTGTACATTATTAAACTCTGAAGGTTCAAAGTTCTCTCTCTCTCTTTTTTTTCTTTTTAAAATTTGGCTTTGCTTTGCTGGAGGGTAAGGAGAAAACAAAATAGAGCAAAACAAAACTCATAGTTGTTGTCTTTTTCTGTCCAGTTGAGTTACTCAAAAACAAAACTCAGTCATATCTTCTCTAGATTCCGTTCCTGTGAGTATTCCCTAAGCACAAAGGACCTTCCCAGTTCTGCCTGCCCCTAGAGTGCTTGTGCTGGGTCAAGGCATATTGTGCCAGGAAACGAGGAGGAACGAATCCGGAAACTGTGGATATTGTTATAATTCTCTCAACTAGACACTTGGATGAGAGGAAATGCATACGGTTTCCCACACCCCATTAGAAACATTCAATTTGGAGCCCATTAGCAAGGCCTTTTTTTGCCTCAGAGGAAAGAAAATATTACCAAACATTTTAGTTTTGCTGTTTAACCTTCAAATAATTTTTCCAACTCTTGAATGATGTTTTTTTTTTTCCTTTTTCTTTTGTCCCTGGCTGAGCCACACAGTATTTGAAGACAGTGGTTACTATTAGCCTGATAATACCACAGAGGCCTTCCTCCAGGTTTAAAATCCTTATGAAGCGACACTTGCTCATAGGTTGATTTCTTTCAGGCATAATACATTCTTTCAAGTCCTGGACCTCTGGGTTCCAGCCAGCTTGCTCCACCTTGACCTGGAGGCATTCTGAGTCTTCAGGCTTGGCAGTGGAACGCCTCCTTCCTAGCTGGTCACGTTGCTCATGGTAGCTGCAGCATGGCAACCAAATCTGAACGGCCAGGACTTATGAAGTACACTATGAAGGACTCCGCCATCTGGTCCCATTGTGTAGTTGTCTTTCTCTAGAGGAACAAAAATTCCAAGCACTCCTGCTGCTTTACCCCTACACCTGAGGGGTGGGGAACAGATTTGCTTTTGTGTTAAACATTAGTGTTCGGAGGAGTGTTCAGGATTGCTGTCACAGGAAAGGCCTTGCATCTCCTGCCTTGGACTGGCTGCATAGTGTGGTTCTTTAGTCCAGAAGTTGGACATGCTTCAGACAGTCTCCATTTTCCCTTTTTGTCATGCCAACCTAAATGTATGAATTTCTTTCAAAGACGTTCTAATCTGTCCTTCAAAAGGCTCAACCCACTGTGGAGTACTTCAAAGACTTTATATATGCTTTGTGCAAAATCCAGTTAATATGAATGTTTATATTTCTCGACTGGCCCCATGACAAGCTGCATTTATTTGGGTTAGCCCAAAGAAAATGTTTCAACCTTTAGATATCCTGTACACTTCAGTATATAGCTAGTTATAGAAAAAAAAGTGGTTTCTGAACTTCTTGGCTGATTAATTATCAATTTTGAGATATAGTTCCGATTTACCTAATGAAAGTGAAACAAAAAATAGTGGTTACAACTAAGAGGGCCATAGCGGTAAGTGGGTTCTGTATGAAAATAATGAAGGCAAATATTCATATTGAAACATTCCTATTCCTGCTATAGGAAAAGAGCAAAGATACACAAGTACTCTTGAAGTTACATTCTGTGCTAACAATTTAACATCATTCATTGAAAGATCCCAGAAAAACATCTGTTTTCCTGACATATGGCTATGAAATGAGGTACTCTCATCATTAATTCACTTATTCAACAAATATTCATTGAGCCTAAGGATACTTTTAAATGCTTGAAATCCATCAGTGAGCAATAAACAAACATCCTTGCCCTACAGAGCTTCGATTCTAGTGGGCATATTATTGATAAAGGTGTAAATTACATAGTATGCAGGAAGCCATGCACGATAGAAAAAAATAGAGCAAGGTGTATAGGGGGATGTCAGTCATGTGGCCAAGGTTCTTTAGAGTAGGCAACATTGAGAAATTGACATTTGAGCTGAGTGAAGTTCACAGGATTCACTTTATAAAAGTTTGAAGCTTTAATCTTTCAAATCTTCCTTTGTTGTCTCAGATTTTATAGATTTCTAAACAGTACATTCTATTAATACTTCAACTGAGACTCTAAAACAAAAAATTCAACATAATACTTTAATTTATTATGCAGAATTGCATAATTATTACATATTATTGTATAATTGCATAATTTATTCTCTATCTGGTTTCAAAAAAAGGTGGTTATAGTTATTAAAAAAAACTCAAACTAAGCCTGGTACAGTGGGTAGACATGAGAGGTGCTTGTCCATTAGCTGTACTGCACTCACTATTATCACCAAGGGTCTGAGCATTCCCACCTGGCCCAGTGGTCATAGGATCTGTGGTTTCACTGGTCACATCTCAGGCCTACTGAGAGATTATCCTCAGGCACATGGCCTTGGAGAACTCATGTGCCACCCATCAGAAGCTGCTGCTTTTGCTGGGTAGAGGCTGACTACTCATAGTGGTACCACTTCCAGATCTCATGCAGCAGTGACACCTCAGCTGGTGGCAATTTTGTATGTCTGTGATTGGATTTCATTGCTGACACAGCGATAGCTCTATGCGCCTAATTAGGAAGAAAACACAACTTTTTTTAAAAAAACTTCAAATATGATTTGTTCACTTGACACCCTCTATTATTTCCCATTTGCCCCTTTAACTGAAGGATTGGATAATTTATGATTCCTTCTTGCCCTGTAACTCATGTTGGCTTCCCAATATATATGCTATCATGTTCACTTAGGCTCTTGAGAATAAGCTCTGGGATATCTGAACCTTCAAGTTGGTGGTTCTCAAACTTTTGGGTGTACAGAAATCACCTGGTAAGCTTGTCAAAAACAGTTCTGTACCCATCATCAGGAGTCTGATTCTGTAGACTTGGGGTGTGGCCTGAGATTCTGACTGTTTAATAAGCCCCCAGGAATTTTGGACGCTGCTGGTTCATGGATTAATCACACTTTGAGTATCAAGGCTTGGGCCATTCTTATTTGGTCCAATAGCCAAAGGCTCTATGGCCTCACTGGTCACTCCCAAGTTCACTGAGAGACTCTCCCCATGGTCTGAGCTCCCTGACCTGTGGCAATGATCACTGTCCAGGTTTGATGAAAGGGGCTGGTTCCCTTACCCACCGAGTCACATCTTCTTCCTGGTCTTGCTGACTCTTGGCCACAGTGTCACTTCTCTACAACATCCTGATTTCTCTGGTCCTGAAGGAAGAGCTTTGTAGCCAAACAGATCAACAAAGATTGTGTGTCCCCACAACTGATCTATGGCCCTTGTCTTTCCAAATGCCTCCCCTAAACAAACAAACAAACAAAAAACCACCAAACAAATAAAGAAACAGAACAACTCTATAATTCTACTTTATCTCAGGCTCTGAGGACTCAGAACAAAATAGAGCATTTGATGTGAAATAATAGTAATTCACATTCAAGTGGCTGATACCCCGGTGAGCCAGGGAAAAAAACTAATGCTAAAAAGAAAACAAAAACAAACAAGAAACAAATAAGACCCAAAGCACTCTCTCCAGGCCTTTTAATTCCTTTAATTCTTTCCTCACTACCCGTCCAATGTTATTCAACACCAGAAGATCTGCTCTGCAGTTAACTGTGGCTGGGACAATTTGACACTGTGGCAAACGTTTGCTTTGGAAAGTTCTTCATGAATTTGCATGGGATTCCTGAGGCCAGGAATAGGTCCATCATCTCTTTCTTTGAATGGTTTTTCTCCACACAGGCCTTTCTCCATTGTAGTGTTTTTCTAGATCTTTCCATCTTGACGCTTTTCCATCTCTTTCCAACTCACAGCTGGAAATCCCACTTTTTGTTCTTTTCTTGTATTTTTTTAAAAAACTTTCTTTCTATTGTTATTTAACTGTGAAAAGTATTTCATTTTGCAGGAAAAATGTCTATATGCATTGTTTGAGCTGGAGTCCTGCTGTTCATTGTTTGCGGAGAGACTTGTTCTGTTTAATGCGCACCCTGGGATGTCAATTTCATTTCATATACATGGAGGCAGAAACCTGTTTGATGTTACCTATGAGACCTCCTGTGGTTGGAAACCTAATCACTCTACATGCCTCTCCCTTTGTAGCACACCAGCAATTAAATCAGGTTAGTGCACTCAGTGTGTGTGTCATCTCTGGCCTTAGAATGTGGGAAAACAGGAAGGAGAGGCAGATGGGGGGTCTGTATAGTCGACTCCCTCTTTCTGACATGGTGGTTCTTAGGTGCCACGTTCTGGTTTTCAAGGCTCATTTTGTGGCTTTGCTTGTGTCACGGAGATTTACGCTTCTACTTTCTGGCTTAAGTGTCAAAACTGTAACTTGCCACGGAAGCGTGTCATAAGTCATTCAAATGAAGGAATAAACAGGAATAAATCTAAATAAACACAATAAGGATAACCAGAAATCCATGTAATCAGAGGAGACTTATCATAAATACTTAAAGTCTACCTACTGAAGGGGAGAAAGGACTTAGGAACACAAAGCTAATATTCAGAAAGGTTGGGAATTTGGAAACTTGTGTCCAAACCAGGTGGAAAGATGTCCTGAGGCTGAGTGGATGACCATGGCTGCATTGCTTCATTTTGAGCAACGTGTGTTCCAATTGGGTGACAATTCTCTGGCTTTTGTGACATGTAGTGTTGTAGGACCTGTCTTTTCTTAAGCTAGCCAGGGCTATGCTCTTCCCATGACTCAGTCAGGCAAGCCCTTCTACTTCTGGTAGAGGGTGGTTAACTGAAGATACTATTGACTGAATGGAATGCTGGGTCACTCCCCAAACAGACAAAGCATGAGCTAGAAAAGTAAAAAAATCACATTTTAAAGATTGTATTAACATAAGTATCATGGAAGGAGTTGTAGCTTTGTTGCTTTGCCTTATATTTATTTTACAGGTTAGTGTTTTATTTGTATTTGTATATGGGAAATGGGACCTGACAATATTTTCAGAGCTCAGAGCCTGTGAAGATTATGATCTGGACCTGGTTGTAGACTCATGTGGCATAATATATGCACCTTTCCAATTTCTTTCAATCCAATCCTTCAGGATGGGAGTCTCAAAGATAGTAGGTAAATTGAGCAACGTTGGCATTAAGGGGAGTGGGGTGGGAAGTGTGGCCATGGTCAGTCTAAAAAGGAGTCTCCTCTTAGTTTAGCCGGAGCCTACAGGACACAGAAGCCAGAGAAAGTATGAAATTCAGACCATTATTTGTTCTGAGAAGCTCAGGTGACAGTCTGTCTTGGTAAAAAGCAGTTTTTAAACACTCCATTTAACAAGTATGTGTTGCATCAGGCTCTGTGTGAGGTGTGGAAGACACACACACACACACACACACACACACACACACACTATTTCTTCACAGTTCTTGCCTTCAAGAAACTCACAGATTGGTATGAAGAAAGAAGCATGTCAGTCAGTGTATTCTGGAATAAACAAGAGAACTCATCTTTTTTTTTTTGGTAAAAACTCCTTAGGTTGGTCAGTTTGAGGTATTATGATAACACAATGGGTCTATTTCAATTTACTCTTAAATGCCCTATAATTGTTGTAGCTAGTGCTAAACATACTAGCTAAAGGATCCCACAGATTCATCCAAAATAGTATAAAAATATCTTACAGTGGTATTTTATTTGAAGCATGGTTTAATTTTGTTTCATTCACTTGGTATCTTTAAAGCCTATGGTTTTGTAATAAAGAATCTGGCCTCAGTCTAAAGAGAAGTCTGGTCATTGTTTCTGGTTTTTGTAAGGTAACCTCCAGAGTCTTGGAATAGGAAGGTGTTTGCTGTCTATGGTAAGCCCCTTAGACCACACTTGGTAGTTTAGTTGAAGGAGGTGACTCAGGATGGGGCCAGCCACACCATTAGTCTTAACAGAAAGACCAACCATGAAATAAAAGGGTTAGGTCTTTTATACAAGCATGACCTCTTGGAGAAGAGTGGGCTAGAGACTAAAATCAGTGAGCAATAAATGATTCAATCAATAATGCCCACGTAATTAAACTCCCATAAAAACTCTGGACACCAAAGTTTGGATAAGCTTTGTCCAAACAACAATCCTTGGTTGGAAATTCTTGGTGGGTCCATATTAGAAGGAAACATGTCCCTGGTGATGGGGGAAACTTTATATTTGAAATGTTTCCAGACTTTGTCTAATACATCTCTTCTCTGTTTTTTTTTCTAATTTGTATCCTTTCCCTAAAATAATTATAAGTCTAACACTTTTTTTTTTTTGATTTGTGAGTTGTTCTAGTGAATTGACAAACTAGAGCAAGGCTGTGTAAGTTCAGCACAAAGTGAACCTACTTCACAGCGGGTACCCCCAGTGGCCTTAGACTGACCCAGTTCTCCCTTTTACTTGCTTGTAGCTTTCAAGAATAATTATAGAATATTCTGAGAATGCAACATCCTGAGAGAAGGAGGAGACGGATAAACCCTGAGCTCTATTCTAGTTTCTGATAGAGACAGGGCATCCTTCAATGCTTTACTTCAGATAGTCATATTACTTCAGGGCATCAAACCCACAATGGACTGCTTTTGGATTTCCTCATCTCTGATAGCAGTGAGCAATGAGCAGTTGAGACTCCATCTGTCCTGGGAAGATTTCTTGAGCCCTAGGGGATCAGCCCACTGTGAATCTTAGGCTGCTGCTGTCCCTTGCTTCTGATCTCTAAGTCACACACCTACTTTGTGTAACTTCTTCATCCTACTTCATGTATGGATGTTCTTTCTCACTGGACTCAGCAAGTTGGTGACCAGTACATGGTGAACCTACTTTACAGCAGGAACCCCCGAGTCTATGGCTTTGGTGAGAGTGTGGGTAGTTTGTAGAATTCCCGTAGACTATGAAGTTTAGCAAACTTGTTTTAGTTGATATCAGGAATCTTGGGCAGATGTGTCAATGTGAAGGACTGACCGGAGGACCTTGAGTTTGGCTAACTCTGGACACTGGTACATTTGTCAGTGATGGAGTACTAAATAAAAGAGGAAGATGAAGTGTCTTCTTAGAAGGAGTTTAATATTTTGCTGATCAAATGAAATAGGCAGACACATGAAGATATTAGACAACAATTCTACAGGAAGCTGGGTCAGATGAATATCCTGTGGCAGCCAGGAGGTTTGTGGGTATAAATTGATGTGTTAAGTGTTTCCACATATGAAAGTATTTATGAAGGTACCTCATAATATTTTCAGTTCTACACATAGAAAATAATATGAGCTATAGAGAGGAATGAGGTTGGAGGGCTGACAGGGTGACTGAGGATCCCAGATAAATTCAGAATTAGGGGACAAAAGGAGAAAGGTCTGAAGCTGTGAAGAAGAGGCAGATGAAACTAAGACTCATTTCTACTACCTGTGACACAAGATCCTTAACTGAGTCCCTTCATACATTTAAGCCTCAAGTTACTTGAGCCCTATATATTTACCTCAGCATTCTCTCTCCTTCCAAAACACTCAGGAAAATCTTGCCAATCCTTGGAAAATGCACGTTTACATCTTCTTTGGCAGCTGAGGATTCAGTGATGTGCTGGTGTAATGTTGCTAAATTTTATCTCTAGGAATTAGGAAATATTTTTCCCCCTGAGAGTGTCCGCATTCTTGGAGTTCAAGCTCAGCTTCCTGAAGTTTGTCCTAAGAGACATCAGTCATCTAGTCCAACTCTTCTTGCAGGGCCAAGGAATCCTCTCCAGGTTCCTCTCAGGTTGTTGATTTCTGCTTAAATACTTCTGGTGTGAAGAAGCTCACTCTTTATCAATGTAATCTACTTGATTTGGGGACAGTTTTAATCATTATGGATCCCTTTTATGCCCATCAGTTTTATTTTGTTTTTGGGAAAGACAAAGTTGATGGCAATAAACATTTATTCAGCATTTAATCTGATCCAGTCACATACCAAGAGCTTTAATGTATGCTATCTTTATTGCTTCAAGCCACTCCACGGTGGAGATAGGAGAAAGTTTCCTGTTAGCCTCATCTTGCAGGCAAGGAGACTGAGGCTTAGAGTTTAAGTGCCTTGTAAGGATGGGGGGCAGGTACTAGAGCAGGAATGGGTTACTGAAATCTGACTGAACAGCTGTCTCTTCATTTATTCCATAATACATCTAAGATAAACTCAAGATCTTTTACATTGAGTGTTTTATAGTTGATATTTGAGTACATGCTCATAAATCTAGTTTTGCTCTTATTTTCTGTGCATTAATGACTATTGCTATTTTATGCTTTCACCTTGAGGGGGGCACACACACCCCCTCCCCCACACATATATGTATATATCAATATAAAGATTTCTCCACAGTCTTTCCCAAATTCCCAATATTGTGTCAACTGGAGTTGATTTCATAAACATTCTCAGGGTAATCCCTTAATTCAAATCTGGTTGAGATTTCATAGCACTCAGCTTGATTTTATTTCTACTTAGCCCTGTGTTTTCTCTTCCTTCTTGTTTTGGCTGCAAACATATATAATTCTGCCTGTGCAAGGCACCTCTTTATGTGCACCTTCTCTAGGGAGCATGTCTACTCACATGCTGCTACTCAGAGAGCCTGAGGCTCCAATACCATTAAATAATTGAAATACTCAAGAGGAATCCAATCCATTCTAAGAAGAATAATGTTCCTCTTTTAATGTGACTTTTGATGAGATATTGGCTATGGAGACCCTGCATGTTGTGAGAGCATTTTGAAGAGAATAGCAAGGTGGGAAAACAAAACAAAACAAAATAAAACACAAAACCCTCAATCTTTTTTTTTTTTATGAGTTCTAAAACGTTTCCTCTCAGCTGTCATACTGAATGATATTTTCCCTAGTGTTTATATACATAATAGACCCCAAAGTGTGGAAATAAAGAGATTCAACTTACAGGCTGTCCAGGCTCATCTCCCCCGAGGATTCTGAAGCCAAATCCAGACTCCATCCTCCGAAGGTGGACATCCAGTTCCTTATAATCTGGACCTGGCATAAAGGAGATCCCATTGAGTAATGAATCCTGCCTCCTCCCCACTCCCTGAGGAACTAAACACACCAATGATAAATTAATCTGTGGATGTGATTAATGAGAGTGCAGTTAGAGTCAAAGGAAAGCATAGGTGTTACAAAACCATGGCAGCAAAGTAGTCCCACTAACAGTGACCAGCCAAGGGTATTACTAGGGTATCACCAGAGGGAAAGAGAGTACATGAGTGTTCTGAGTGGAAAAAAAATGTTCTTTTTGTATTTTTAAAATTTTCTTGAGAGCTTTTGAATTGCCCTCAAGAAGCCTGGCTATGATATTGAGAATATTTACTCTGATCACTTCAGAAGAGAGAGAGCAGATGGTAAAACCTGGAACTACCTAGGAAAGTATTACTAGTAATTTACTAGTGTCTCTTTATGATTTGATGCATACTTTAGGGGTATGTGTGTATGTGTATAGGGTATAATCTTATGCCTAATGAAAATTATCTTTTAAGATTTTTATAATAATGATGCTAGGCTTATCTTGGTGCCAACAACCTGGGTTATCCCTAATGATATATGAAAGGCAAGTCTTCACTTTTAATATGTGGGTAAATGCTGATATCTGTCTGGTACTCTCCTAAAGAAAGCTGAATCAGGCACCTGTTATATGTGTGAGTGTGTGTATGTATATATATGTGTTCGTGTGTGTGTATGTGTATGTATGTATATATATATATATATATATATATATATATATATAGAGAGAGAGAGAGAGAGAGAGAGAGAGAGAGAGCACACACGGCTCGATGACCATCACTCCCTTTTATGACCAAAGTATATATAACTAATGTCTTTCTCATCCAATGAATAATGTAAAACTCTCAAAAAAGAGTAACAAATTAGACCTCAACATCTAATAGTCATCCTTTTTAAAGTATAGAAACATATATATTTTTAAAATGGGAGGACTTAGAAGAGTTTGGTTCCTATTAAATAGTTGGAACTGGGTGGTAAAGAAGATATGAAAACTTTGCCCTACATTCTATGGAACGTGATTGGCTTTTGAACTCAGTTAATTTTGTAGTTCATCTTATTTTGTATGAAGTCACATATTGGAGTGTGTACTAAGCCTTTGGGAGTCTGGAGACAGATGAAACAACCCTAAAAAAATCATAGCTGGTACCTGTACTCTTCCCAAGGGAGGGAGAAAAGCAAGGGGAGATAGGAGATGACAGGTAATGCCCAAACACTGTTCAGAAAGTTGATTCAGAAAACTTCAGAAACAACTGCTTGTGTAATCTCTTATCTAGATCACTTTAAGCTTAGAGGATCCTAGATCACATATACACAAAAAATACAAATAGGAGGTGACATATTTTTGACATTTGACAACATTTGACATGGTAAAGCAAGCCAATGTTTAACCAGAACTTTCCATCTACTCCCATACTCTTCTCACGTTGGCATAAGGTAAGTGGGAAATTGTTTCTCCAATGATTTCAGAACCCATCTATATTGTACAAAGAACTCCTAAAGGAGTTTACTGCATGTTCCATATTATTTCTATGTAAAGCTTTTCCTCTAAGGAAATACTAAAATTATGACAATCCCAGAAATGGAACTGTGAGATGTATCCAGGTAGAAGGGGGTTTGGCTGTCAGAGAATGCTATGTTTCTTGGGGCAATAGGAAACCTTTTTCTTGAAGAATGGTTCAGGACCTTTTTTTTTTTTTTCTTTTTGGTTAGGACAAAACTCTAGATTTTAGTTGGTTAACTTATTTAACTCAGAAGTCTAGAGATGTGAACAAGGCATTTAACCTCCTTCTCCTATTTTTAATATGCCTTTTATTGATGATTTTGATTTTCTTAAGTTTCTCTGACCACTCCCCATGCCAATTTCAAATAATGGGTGGTTGAGTGCCAATGTTTCATTTTTGCCCTTCCATTCTAGGCAGAGATGGACAACTTCATGGTACATGAGTAGAGAGGCAAAGAGAGACCTGTTAGAAAACTGTGCCAGCTGATGTGATTTACTTTTTATTTCTTTGTTAATTTTGAACACAGATTTAGAGGCTGCAGGGCATGGAAATTTTAGAAAAATAGTCAACTGGAAAACACAAGTTTAAGTGATAGATTATGCCTTGAGGCAGCGGTTTTTTTCTTTTCAATAAGAGCTTTTAGAAAGACAAATTTTTCTTTGGTTTCTTTTTTTACTTATCTTTGAGTCTGGTCTTAAAAAACAGCTAAAATGATATGCACAAAGCTGGGAGACATTTTTTTTTCTTTCTCACTTTGTTTGATGTTTCTGACATTTGTTCTTCAGGCCTGATGACATGCTCAAGGGTTGTATCGAGCTTTATCTCTTCCCTAATTAATATAAGTGAAGAATTCCCAGGGCCAATTCTTTACTCTTTTGCAACAGAAGTTCACACTCACCACCTCTCTATCTTGTTTAAAATAAACGATGCACACTGGAGGTTGTTAGATGAAGGGGTCTGGGAGATACCTGCCCAGACCTCAGTCACTGTGGCTGTCAATCAACGATGCCTCACTGGTATCCCTTTCTCTTTTGCTTGCTTGTTTGTTTTCTTCCTGTGTTATTTTTCATTTTATTCTCTTTCCTTAGCCCTTTTTTGCAGAACTGTCAAGGGCACTCTTAGATATTGCTTGGTACAACTCAAGAGGAGGCAGTACTTGTGAAGAAATGAATTAAGAATTCTTTGGACCTTAGTGTTCCATGGTCAGTCATGGCCAATGTTTTTTCTTCCTTGGAAGTTGGGTCCCAGGAGACAGAAGCATTATGAAATAAAACATCTCATGATATTCTTCCCAAATAGGATATGACCACAGTAACAAGATACTGGAATGAAATTTATAAGTCCTAATTTATCACATACCCATATTGCAAAAGATAACATTTAAGAAGTAGCAAAGAGAGGCCATATCCAGATATCAGAACAACCTTTCTTATAATAAGGAAAAGCAGAATTTTAAGAGTTGATTCCTGTTTTGTATTAAGACCCCAGGGGGCTTCACATGTTATATATACCGTGGTCTTGCTTTTGAAAGTATGACTTTCTGTGTGCACGATACTAAGGAAAAGACTGGATGACTGAGCACAACTGATTATTTTTATGAATGAATTCAATCTTCAAAAATGCAAAGAACGGCATTATTATGAATTAATTTGGCACATGGGATGATGTTGAAAACATCAATTAAATTTTGGTGCTTGAATCCCCTTTCATGTTTTAATTAAAACATAAGTACCATGACTTGTTATCACAGTTTGGCACAAAGAATGCATTTATTGCATTTTTTTTCCTGGTAAAAAGAGCATTTTTTTTTCTCTCTGTAAAGACATCGAGGGTAAAGACATCACAAAGAAGGAACCAGGAATCAAATGTTATTAAACACGTCTCTACGTTCTATATTTCCATGCACTCTAGATACAGAATGAGTTAAAAAATAATTAGCTTCTACTGTTGGAATCTAAGATGACCAGATAAGTACCCAGGGCTTTTGCCTTAAAAGAATCCCTTCTCTTAACCTTCCTTCTTCATTCTTTTGGGAATATGAACACAGTTGGGCTGGGCATGTTTTAGCCATAGTAAAAGCTATTTCCCACTTTCTGTTTGGTTTTCTTCCTCAGCCTGCAAATAAGCTCAGATTTCCCCATCCTAAATACTGCCTTGTTCCCCTCTTCCATCTTCATCTTGGAAGAGTAGTCTCAAGTGGAACCTTCTGCCCATTTCTGACTTTTTCTTGCCTGTCTGCTTTCTGCTCTTTGCATTGCCAAATTCTTTAAGGTCCTTGGTGACATCCTAAGGACCAAATTAAACAGCTTTTTCTTTTCCTCATTCTGATAGATTTCTCTGCCCCCTTTGATACTGCTGATACATCTGTCGTGACTCCAGAAGATTATGCTAAGTGAAGTTAGCCAATCCCCAAAAAGACAAATGCCGAATGTCTTCTCTGATATAAGGGGAGTGACTCAAAATGGAGTAGGGAGGAAGAGCATGGGAAGAAGACTACCTCTAGATAGGGGAGAGGGGTGGGAGGGAAAGAGAGGGAGAAGGGGAATTGCATGGATGGTGGAAGGAGACCCTCATCATTGTACAAAATACATGTATGAAGATGTGAATTTGGCGTCAACATATCTTGTATACAGAGATATGATAAATTGTGGTATAAAGGTGTAATAATAATAATAATAATAATAAAGCTCATGTAAAAAAATAAATAAAAATTTTTAAAAAATCCTAAACAAAGAAAGGTCTCTTTTGGAAGTGGTTTCTGTGATACTCCACACTCTCTCTTGCCTTTAGGTAGAGGTTCCCATTCAGATTCTTGGCTGTATATCTCATTGTTTCTCACCAACATTCTCCCTGGGTGTTGACATAATTATCTTTGTCTATGAGAGTATTCTCTTTTGCACAACCTGTAGCAATTGCTAAATAAATTTCTTGAATTTAGTTGTTTTATAGTACTCACCAATCTACTAGACTCCATAAACTACAGCATTGTTCCCCTAAGGAGTTATCACTTAATTCCATAGATACATTATTTAGGACTTGCTACTATCACTTATCCTTTGGAATCTATGGATCTTATGCAGATAAATAATATACCTTATAATTGTGATAAATATATACAAGTAAAAATCGTGATAGATAATTTGATAAAAACATTCCAGACACATGAGAAATAATATGAGGGACATGTTTATTGGATGTAGTTGTTATTTCCTAAATTATTTTGATAATTTGTGCACATTTAACAAAATATTTGGATTGGTTCTTTTCTTAAACATCTGGACTGCACAATAGCATGATGTATTCAAACTATATTATTACCATTGTGTCTTGGGTAATACTTTTTAATGTAAAAATATGACCCTGCACATACATCATGACAATCTAAGCTACTGAGTAGCCTTTCTCTTCTATCTTCTTTTGTTTTTAAACAAAGCTGAGATTTTCAAGAAATGGGCTTGAGGAGGCCAGTAAGCTGAGACTTAGAAGAATTCTAAATTAAATCCTAATTTAATTTTGCAACTATAATTCTGAGGTTCCTTTTACCTTCTGGGGATAATATAGCCTTTAAAATTACAAGAATTGTATAGTCAGTATATGAGAGTAATCATGCTTTAAAAATTTCAGAGCAAACTAAACAAATACTTTAGATATGACTTAAAGACAAAATGCTAGCATTATCTTTCATATTTCCTACATATCCCAAAAAATGACATGGTAACTTACAGAATGAAATGAGCTCAAGCACATATAGTCTCCAAGGGGTGTTAGAACATGCTGAGATGGATAATGAGCTGTCATCATGGAAATACTCTAGAAATGTGTGCTGTAAGCCTGAAGTCCTGAAGTAGTGCTGTTATAAAAAATACTCTTTTCTGCAATTGTTTCAGTGTTCAGGTTTTCAATTGAGTGGTCTAATCAGCTGTTTGAAGCATTTGCATTATTAATTCTCAGCGGAAAAAAAATCCAAATCTTTTTTCCTCCTTCATGTCTACAATAATGTGAAACCAAAACTGGTAAGTAGTTTTGGAATGGATAAACAAAAACCTATTTTCAAGTAAATTAATTGGATATTTCTAAAAACTATAAAATGTAAAACTATGATATTCTCTTTTTACAATTTTTTAATTAATTTTTTATTTGTTTAATTAGTTACACATGAAAGTACAATGATCTTGACATATACATTTAGATGGACACAATATCTTTATTTTGTTTACCTATTTTTTTTTTTTTTTTGTGGTGCTGAGGATCAAACCCAGTACCTCACATGTGCAAGGTAAGTACTCTGTCACTGGGCCACAACCCAGCCCTAAAACTATGATATTCTATTCTGACTTGAAATACTATTGGGATATAGCATTTTATAATTGGTATTGTTTTAAAAAATAAGTTGATATAGGTATTTAATTGATCTGAAAATAACTACAATTTATATTAGCAAAATTTAATTCTTCAGAAATGTCTACATGACACAAAATTAAGATATTTAACTTCTTACTTCTATTTATCGAGTCCAGTGCGGTCTAATACAAATAAAATGTAAGATGCATAAGTAATTTAAAATGATTTAGCAGCCACTTTTCAAAAAGCAAAAGAGGAAAATCAACTTAATGTTTTACTTAATGTAATCATCCAAACTATCATTTTAAGATAAATCAACTTAAGTATATTTAATGAGATAGCATCCACCCCCTTTTATTTACTACATCTTTGAACTCTTATATGGATTTTATACATAACCTTATAGCATGTCTAAATTTAGAGTAGCCACATTTCACATTTTAGTAGTGAATGGCTACTTTATTGTACAGCTCAGATCTAGTCAGTCTGATGGTTTTTGTTTTAAATCTAGTGTTGTACTAAAGTATTTTATGGAGGGCATTCAAGAATATGACAATTTTAGGCTGGGCATGGTGGTGCACGCCTGTAATCCCAGAGGCTATGGAGGCTGAGGCAGGAGGATTGAGAGTTCAAAGCTAGCCTTAGCAAAAGCTAGGTTCTAAGCAACTCAGTGAGATCCTGTCTCTAAATAAAATACAAAATAGGGCTGGGGATGTGGCTCAGTGGTCTAGTGCCCCTGAGTTCAATCCCTGATATTCTCCCCTAACAACAAAACAAAAAGAATATGACAATTTTCCTTTTTTGTTGTTGTTGTTGTTGGCAGGCATTTAGACCCACCCTGATGAGGCTTGCTCTCTGTCTTGAACACATGCATATGTAGGCGAACAAAATCAGCATGGTGATTGCATGCTACACAACTGATACTACTAAGAAGAATGGCTGGTAACACAAAATGGAAGACATTTGTTCATAGAACTGTAAGTACTGAGGAATACTTGCCAGAGGAATCCACTCGAAAACTGGTCCTGGGTGGCACTTGTTCTGGATAAGAAAATGGGGAATTAAAATGGAAATTCATTTATGGCATTTAAAAATTTATCTTCACTTTCTTTTGATTGCTTTTATAACTCCACCCCACCATATCTTGTGTTTAATGATTTTTTTTTTCTCTAAAATCCATGGAAGTTAGTGGACAGGTTTGCCGTACGTTTTTGTATGAGTATGCCTGAAATAGAAAAATCTGAATTCTTTTAAATCAGGATGGAAAAAAATCACCATTTTCAAATATTATTAACCCTTGATTCTTATTATAATAATGCTTATTTAAAAGCAAAATCAACCCAGAACCTGAAATACATATGGTCAACATGTCTTTTTTTTTAAAAAGTCATATTATGATATTATATTACAAAACATTAAAACAAAAAGAGAAAAATTTAGCCAACGATTACATTAGTTTATGTATACCAGTCCAAATATTTTGATATTTCCAATTATTGGATAGTTGAAATTGTGAAGAAGTAATTGAGTTTATTTTACCAATAGAGACTCTGTGAGAGTTATGATACAATCTATGCTACATGTAACAACATAAAAATTCAGGCACATGAGCATAAAACACCTTTAAAATGTGGGAACATCCCATATTTAGAATTGTACTTATTGGAAAATGTAGCTACTGTGTCTTGGAAGTATTTGAAGACATGTTTGTCTCATGGGTAACATTTATCAGGGTTAAATAAGGATCTACTTAACAAGCTTCCACCCTATTCCACACAGACATGTTTCAACACGTCCTGATCTGGAGCAGTTGAGCACAAAGAAAAGAACATAACTAAATGGTCCCTTGAATTTTATTCTGCCTTCCAAATCTACCACAGAAGAATTAAGCTTGAAAGATCAGTGCCCCAAACACTAAGACTTAGAGAAATTGTTCATGTGCTCCTTTACAGAAAACTCTTCAAGATCATTTTGAGAAAAATTACTCATTATATTTAAAGATCCATTTTTAAAAACTATAACTAAAATGCACTATCCAATAAAGTGCTCTTTGTTTCATTTTAGTATCATTATGGATAAATATTACATATTTATACCCTTCTCTTACTATAATTTTTCTACTAATACCTTCAGCTATTCTCTTCCTTTACCAATAAGAACTTTCCTAAACCACACACTGGCTTGATATGAGGTGGGCAGAAGACACATGTGAATAAGCCTGTGGTCAAGACATACTTCTTAAAAGATATGTTAAGATAAGCTGAGATATTTCTGAGAGATTGGCAGTCTAGTTTTGCCATCATGATGAACTTAATAGAAAGTTTTATCACATTGCTTTGCTTTTAAATCATGTAAGGAATTCCAGATGGAAATTAAAAATTCCCAAGCCTCTCCAAAGCATAAATTCACGTTGTAGATGAAGGAACTGTAAAATTTTCTTGTAAGAACTGTTTCTCCCACTTTTAGACTTTAATATGTCCACTAGTTTTGGGTTAAAAACATTTTAGATCATTATTACTATTATGGTCATATAAATCATCGTGTAATTATCAATCATATACATGATTATCCCTTATTAGGAGCATTTTAGAGGAGGCAACTTGAAAGACGGTTTTAAAAAGCAGAGTGAGAATAAAGTACAATAGAACTTTCCTATTTTGAGCATATTAAGATGACATGATTTTATAATATTGTTGTGTCATATGAACCACAATAAAAATGAATATTTTTTTCATTCAACGTAAAAATTAAAATAAGGCTAAATTTTGATTGCTTTATTATTGAGCTCTGTTTGTTTCCAATAAAGACAGTCTTGTTCATCCCTGCCAGGTAAGCTGTGTTTTCATAGTAAAGGCAAATTAGTTTCCTAGCAGAACTGTAATTTTTTTTAAGAACCTTCATGTTTACTGTGACTGTCTGGGATTATGAATGAGAAATATCCTTTCATCAAAGGGGTAGACCTATGTCAGGGAGGGAAGACTGCTACCTTCTAAACACTTCCATTAGGTTTAAAACTGACGTTTTATATTATCATAATCTCCCTAGGACCTACTTGTCATCCAGCAATTAAACTCCATTTACTGCAACCCTGATGGTCTCATGTTTATTCATGAAAGTACTTTGGTTTACACTGTCAACTTGTACTACCAACAAAATGCTTTGACATACTAAATAACTTTCAAGCAAGGGCTGATTTTAGAATCCACTTTTCACATTTTTCCTCTTTTCTAGCCCTTGTCAAACACTAAGTTTTAAATTACAGAATAAAATAAATTTATAAGTGATAGGATTGGATATAATTTGAAAAATACATGGGAAAAATAGGTGCTACATCACAGGTTATTTTACTGTTTATATTACCTAGTTCACATCATGGTAATTTTCTACTTTAAAAGGAACCTGAAGAAATATATATGTTATCATAACTTTTTAGAAAGCAACCCAAAGATACCATTTTTGAAACTGGGCTTCCAAATTAATTAAAATCTATGTATTAAACATGGCAAACACAGCTTAACTGGGCTTATTGATCTCTTTCATCAATACATTACAAGCTCAAAGTGATACATAATGTGATATATTAGAAATTCCAGCTAAAAGGCAAATTTCTTCACAATTTTTTTTTAAATTATAAATATAAATTATACTAAGGATGGCAATAATGTTATTCTCATGGGAAAAGGGCCCAGAAAATTAACTTTCATGGTATAGTTGAGGATATTAAAATGATGTTAATTTTTCTTTTTATGATTCTAATGCTAAAGTCATTGGTAAAAGTATCATAATATTTATTTATCATCTTCTTTTAATATTTAGAAAAAGACTGTGCTCCAGCAAACATGTATGAGAGGTACTTTAATTAAGGCCACTGGACACCAACAATGTCCAAGAAAATCAGGCGAGGGCTCCATGTGCTCAGTGTGAGGATGCTCTTTGAGAAGGCAAGACGAACTTCCATGATCATTTGGATAGCTGCCTGCAGCTATGGCATCTATCAATTCACAGAAACCTTTCTTAAACCTTTTGACATTTCCAGTATGACTGTAGCAGGCAGTTAATTACATTGGGAAAGGAGACTGGAGCCAGGAAGCCTCAAGCAGAAGGACTCGTTCAGACTTCAGAGCTCTGGTTCTCAGTACCAGGGATGGCAACTGCCTTTGTGAGCTGGCTCCCACCATCACTCTGCAGAGTCTCCAGGGTGTGCTGCCGTGAAAAATTTTATTACACTACTTTCTCTCTCCAAAGGCTCTGGTGTTAGGATAGGAGGCAGCGGAAACGATGACCCTTTGCTCACTGAGCTGAAAAACCCCAATACTGTAGAAGTGCAACTACCTATTTGTAATTATCCATAAATTATATATGCATTACAATACTGAACAATGAAATAATTCAATAACTGAACAAATGAACAACAGAAGAGAAGGATAAACACCATAGATGTGAAAGACACAGCTGTCCATTTTTGATCGGCTGTAAATTATAATTTCATTTCAGGCGTAGCACTAAAGAACAGCCTTGCTTCTCCATTATGCTCTTTAACTGGCCTGGGGTTACTTTTTATGACAACCTTGGCTGTGATACTCATTGCTTATAATAGGTTAATGCTTTCTAATTTCTGGAAAGAAAAATTGATTGTATGAGCTCTTTTGAAGAAATTTCTGTTCTAAAGGAGTTACACCATAAGGCACATTACACCATATGGATTGTTGACACTTTTATGATCCTACATTTGAGTGATGTCTTACTCCACAGGAGTGTGGACATGCTGTACCTCATAAATTGTTTATTTATAATAACCAAGGTTCAATGGGAAAAGAAAAAAAAGTTTGGAAAACTTCAGTCATAATTCAACATGGGTTTAAACCAAGCAATGGAACCACCAGGGATTAGTTTAAGGGAATGAGGATTTTCCTTCTCTGGATATTCTTGTTTGCACCTGCTTTTTTTGCTCTAGTTTCCAAGGCTGAGGTGTGGAGCATGCCCAAGAAATACCCCCATGACCCGAGGATGATAAGACAGTCCTTTAGAATGAGTTTGGCTTGAAGAAAAGTGCAGTACAGACCTCCTTCCTAAATCAATAGGCTTTCATTAGAGTGATCGAAACTGTATTTCATAATATTCCAGAGTAATCCACAGTCATTTTCTTTGAGAAACATTTTATATCCCCTTAGCTGGTAATAAAAAAGGGGGCAAGAGGGAGAGGAGATGTGATAGGTATCTATTTGCAGTTATCTAGGTATGATTGTTCCTTTGGGCAGCAGACAGAACTCCCTTTCATTTCTGTGAATATTGTGATGTTGAATTTGACTTACTCTGTGATAAGAATGAGAACTCCATGGCGTAGTGTAACTGTGACACTCTCCTACCTGTTCTTTCTAATTAGTTTGCCAGGCTCTGGATCTACACAGAGGTACAATTTCTAGGTATAGGGTGAGTTCCCTGGGAGTTTGGCTACCAATACAAACTGCCACATAAGCTTTTATCTTAAATTAGAGATAAAACATATAGAGGTAAAAATATGATTAGACAAAGAAATTAACTTTAAAAAGTTAGTTTTCTGAGTAGATATTAAAATTTTTATTCGTGGAGTACATGTTTTTTCTTGGACAGTAATGATGACTATTTCTTGAATAGCCATATAGATTATATAAATTATATAGATTATATAGTAAAGGGAAACCATGTAATGGTTTTGGAGAAGAACAGACCAGAGAGTCAAAGGGCAGCTACTAATAATTACCCCAGGCCAACACACATCAGGACCATTCTGGGAACACTGTCTCATGTAGACACCCTGGGTAGTCTTTTGGGTTTCTGGACCAGTAAAAGAATTTCTGTTATATCAGGATATGTGGTTGAAGCAAGGACACAATCACACAGAGACAAAGAATGGCAGGAGGAGCTGAAAGGAGAGAGGACAAGGCCTTTAGAAATATCTTTTTTCTCTATTATTAGAGATGGTACAAATAGTTCAACATTAGGAACGTTTACAAACAGAGAGCACAAGCTGAACCTCTTGTGATTGCAAAGAAAAGTCAAGTCCTTCCTTCATGAGACTCATGGGAAAAGGACAAAGAAGACAGAATTCAAAAATAGCATAGTTTGTCCTACGGAACAAAGATGAGTATCTCCCTCTGCTTTCATTTTTTAAAATTGTAAGTAATAGAGACAGCAAGAAGTCAGTTTATCAACAGAGACTAACTACACAAAGACAAACATGACATTTGTCTAAGGTCTTTGGCAGAGAGGCATGTGGGGAGATATTTGTTCCTTTTTGGAAACTGATGATATAGGTTGAGCATCACTAATCCAAAATTTTGAGTGTTGCCATGGCTCTGCAAGTGGAAAATTCCATATATGACCTTATGAGATGGGTCACAGTCACAATGACAACGCACTACAAATATTTGTATAAGGTGTATATGAAACATAAATGAATTTCATGTTTAGACTTGAGTTCCAGGTAATATGTGTGAAAATATTTGAAAATCTGAAAAAAATCCCAAATCAGAAATACTTCTGGTCCCAAGAATTTCAGGGAACGTCTACTCAACCTGTAATGAATTGAGTTAAAACTTAAAAAGAAAAAATTCCTGGGCATCCTGGGCATGGTTCTACTTAAATATTTAGGCATATAAGCTTAAGCTTATATAGAATTAGAGGAAAAAAAATTTCTTTCTATGGAGTTTGCCAGTAACAACTAAGACGAGATACGGCACATTTAGGGTGGTACAGCTGAGACCCTAGTAACAACTAAGACTTTGATTACTCAAAGATATTTCTCTTACATGTATTCTCTAGATCAGTTTTGTACATGGAAGTTGAGAAACTACCAGAATTCTAATGATTTTACTGGACAAATTCACACATTTGAACACTGATATTATTGATGGTGTTGTATAAGCTGACATTGTTCAGGAATTGTTTCCTACGTGTGCATAAGCTTCTAATGAGTAGAGATTACTTCTTGTGAACTTTCTCTTGTGGAGGGTCTAGAGGAGTTCTTGACACATAGTGAGTGTTTCGTATACTCTTGTTGATTAATATGAAGCCTGGAGGTGCTACCTCTGGGTACTGCACCTAATGCTCTAATGTCAAAGGTATCACTTGCCTGCTAGGCAGAAGAATCTTTCTTTCTGTGTCTTTTTTAGTCCTTACCTCATCTTAAGGTGATCTCATGAAGACTGGAAGTGTTTCCAATTTTCCTTCAAAACAGTACCTGTCATACTGTATTTCCTATGATTCTAGTATCCTGTGGTTGTCTTCATTTGTTTAAAATCACATTTTTTTCCAGGAGTACATCTTTATTAAGATGTCCTGTGCATGCACATTAAAGTGTCAGCATAATCTAATTATGAGTCAAATGAGGCACAGCAGCATTTACATCATTTGATAAATTTCCCTCATTTGCAGGGGACTGGTGACTTGAATCCAAATATTTCTTGACAGCCTTGACAGAACAAACATTGTGTAACTCTGTGCAGCCCAGACTTGTGGGTGGAGGGCCATCCTTTAATTTGGTAATTGTACTAGTTTTGAATGTGAATGCTTCAAATCTCTTTAGTCTTAGATGTGGTTGTAAGAGATGGTACCATGAGATCACTACTGGCTAGGAAAAATTAGAATTTGCAGGTTTGATTAAGATTTCCTTCCCTAATCCATCTCTTCCACACTTTCCTTAGTCCTGCTGATTTTTTTCCCCTCCCAGGAAAAACTTGGGAAACACAAGAATAAGTAGAACTGAACTGAAATGTTATGCATGTGATTTAAAGGAATAAGAGTGGAAGTGGTTCACAATCAAAATTTTGAATATTGGCCTTTCATTTGGGTTGTCTGATCATTGCATTAAAAAATAAAATTAACTGTTTGAAGATGATGAGAAGTAGACTGAGCTTTTCACCTATTAATTAGTTTTTTTAAAGTATTGCTTTAAAAAGTTAAGTGAGAATATGAAACTTTTTTCATACTAGGAAGCAGGGTATGTCCAGAGGGCATAGGGCTGTTTTATTCTTCTAAGATGCTGTCATGTCCCCAGCAGAGAGAATCGATGAGCTACAGAGACCAGAGAAAGCAACAACAGAACCTTCTGGTTCCTCAATCTTCAGGGGCAGAGCTTCCCTTACCTGGACTTGATTTCTGTGTTTCATTCACACTCCATTTAGTGTTATGAAATAACATGAGAGGAGAGAAAGATGGGAAAGGAAATTAGCCTGCCCCCTTTTGGCTCTCTGAGAGTTGTGACCTGAAAACATTACTGTGACCTCAGAAACATTAGAGAGAGCTGAGGAAAACAAGAATGTGGGTGCGATGAGAGCTGTGGCCACTGGTGGCATGGGCAAGGGCGCTGGGGGGCGGCAGTCAGGAAGGCTGTTGTTTCTGCAGCTGAGAGGCAAGGGAGAATCAAGAACTCCCAGGGGAGGCCAGGAAAAGAAAGACAAGGGAAGGGAAGGCACAGGCGGAGAGCAGGAAGGCAATGAACAGATAAGGCACTGCAGGGACTGGATGAGGAAATGAGAGTTCTTTTAGGATTGTGAGAGGGTCATGCACAATTCCTGTTCAGAAACTGAGGGCATAGACGACCATGAAGAGAAGTCAGGGAATAAATACCAACATGGCCTTTGTCCTGAATAACAAAGCTTTGCTTTGCCCAGGAAACTGCAAAAAGGATAGAAGCAAATGACTAATGAAGGGACAAAACCCAGGAGGAAGCATCTCTTAATGCTCCTTAAATCAAAGCAAAAATTGAAGCTAGCCAAAGATGTGAGGGTGATATTTTAATCCTGCAGTGAATTTCTTTCTTCCAAGATGGAAATCCTACTGTATCTCGCTCTCCTCTTGTTTACACTCCTGCTTCTTATTTCCCCATTAAATTTGTAAGAGCAGGACATATTGCTCATCTGTGGTATCTCCCCACAGTGCTGAGAGCAAAGTGGGTATTCAATAAATACTTGGTTTATTGAAGCAGAAAAAAGTATTAAGAACTGTGCCAATATCTCTTCAATTCCTTTTTTTCAGTTTAATGAGCACTAATACTCTGAATTTATACCCTATATTATACAGCTAAAAATGCCTACTTTGTTCTTCCTCTTCTGTAGCAGACATCCTAATGATACAATCCTTTAATGATATCTCCGTTGTTCATCAAGAAGGGGAAGAATGGAACAGAGTGACTGTGATGTAGCTGATTATTTAAAAGTGTGTGTCTGGTAGATTCATTTTGATGAAAATGATTTCTCCATGGTCTGCTGTCCTAACTATTTTATCAACCAAAATTACTTGCACAAAGCATTGTAGAGAATGGGGAAAAGGTATTATGTTTGCCTTTCCTTTTACCAGCTGGGTGCATAATTCTCAGCCCCTGAGCTCATCAAAAGAGTAAGCAGATTTGAGATCCTCTGAGATCACACACAATTTAAAACTTGCTATCATGCTTCAATGATAAAGTTCGAAACAAGACATTGGTGGAAGCAAAGGAAATCAGCAGACTGTAAATGGGAGCTCCAGGGACCAAACTCTTTTCACCAGGCCAGGTTTCTTGATCATTTACTCAGGTTCTTATTATACACTATAGTTTACACTCATGTCATTTAGATTCTAGTCCTCTAATGTGTGGAGGGAATGGCTTGTAAGATGGCAGAAAGATGCATAACCACCGTGTATGGTATATTAAAAATCTGGGGCTGGGATTGTGGCTCAGTGGTAGAGCACTTGCACATGTGAGGACCTGGGTTTGATCCTCACCAACACATAAAAATAAATAAAATAAAGGTATTGTGCCCAACTACAACTAAAAAATAAATACTTTTTTAAAAAAATCTTTGTTTTCTAACATTTACAAAGTGCAGTGACATAATTCTTGAAGACCTTCAAATAGGGCTGCAAGTGCATACATATTATTTCAAGACAATATTTAAATGGGTATGCATTAAATAAGAAACAGAAGATTGTGGCAGAAATGATTGGTACGTGGCTCTGCATTACTTTTGGAACCAATTGATTTCATGAATGTCTTTCTATGACTATTGGAAGGACTTGGCTGACATTTTACTCAATGCCCTAACTCTAATGACTGCCTTTAAAACTCCAAGAAAAAAAAAATCTAAGTTTAGACTCATGGTCATATTAAATAAATTAAAATTTCCGAACATTTCTTCTTACTATTTAGTGACTTGAACAAAACTAGCAACTGTCCCCAGGCCCTATCCCCTCAAAATTCCTGATTTTCTTCAAAGGCTTAGGGGCAAAAATAAGAAATAAAATTTAAAACCAAAAGATATAATCAACTTATTTTTAGAACTAAAATATTTTTTTAAGCCAATGGGTACAAAGTTTCAGTTAGATGGAGGGAAATTAAATTCTATTGCACATTAAGGGGACTGCAGTTAATAATAACATATATTTCCAAAATAGTTAGAAGAGAGGTTTTTTAATATTCTCACCATAAAGAAATGATAAATATTGGAAATGACTGATATGTTAATTAACACGATTTGATCATTCCACAACGTATACAAGTATTGAAACTTCACAGTGTATCCCATAAATATGTAATTATTATTTGTCAAAACTATACAAGAGTGTGTGTGGGGGGAGTGGGCTTTTAAAGAGAATTTTAGATAGCTCACTTGACTTTGGAGATGCTCTTGAATCTCAGAATATAAAATCATGCCAGATTATTCAGCCTCAATGTATGTCCTGGCAGGGCCTTTGGCTATTATTAATGAACCCTTGTTTCATGTGGCTTTCACTTACGCCTACTTTCATAAATGGCTCTAGATTTTTCGTAGAGCTCATATGGGTCAGGCTTCCGTGGGTCAAAGGCCTCTGTTGAGTCAGGAAAGGAACTCCTGTGGAGTGCGGGTGGGAAGGGCAGGTTCTGCGGTATGGCCGGAGCAGATAAACTTGTTTGAGGACTGCCTTGATTCTCCCATCGGTCCATTATCTGAAAAGTAAAACAGAACAGAGAAAATGACTGAGGATCAATCCTTTCTGGCTATTTCCCTTGTCACCTTTAAGTTGGACTTCCTTGCCTTGTGGACTTTTCTTCTAAGAAACATTGAAAACTTTAGTATACACATGCCTTGAAAGAAAAGAGCTTACTTCTGTCTGATAAAGCACCAGTGACTGTTATAAATAAAAGCAGTGCCCAGCTTTTGAATGAAAACTTTTATAACCTCGTCTCCTATTAGGTGGTAATCTTTAGCAAATTGATTTCTCAGAATCTTTTTTCTTCCCATAAAATAAAGACAACAAGATAATACATGTGGAAGTGCTCAGAGATGTTGGTATTGTTTGTTCCTTTTCTAAGACAGTCTCACTTTATTACCCCACTTCACTAAAACAGAAGATAAAGTAGTAGGTGCATATTCACGTGACACCTCTGCACATCCCAAGCACCTCCTATACTTGAACATTCAAACACTTCCCTTATAATTTACAAGTAGTCATACAACCACCTGGGCTCTAGGGATTGTTCAGGCTTCTGGGATGTCCTGTTCATGGCTGATGGTGATGTCTCCCCTAAAATGCTGCCGTTGCTGGCACCACAATTAGATACTCCCTAGTCATCCCCTCACATACAAGACCTTCTTCCATCTTCACCATAGGATCATGGGGAAGATAAAGCAAGAGCTAATCTCATTCTTCCATCAAGGAGAAAGGGAGGTTCTCTGAGGTCACCTATTGTCACCATCAGTTTCACCTTTGTTAGACTATTAACTGACTCCTCATTAAAACTCAACTTCTGCTTTGAATAAACCTGTGGTTTGTGTATGTCTTAGATTAGGTTTAGGTTACCCTTTTGTCTAAAATTCTGTACCGGGTCAGCATGGGTGGCAGGATCAAAAAGGCTAAATTCCCCAGTTGGGTTTGGGAGGTTCTTCAGGACCCAGGTTGTGCTCATCTAACTCATATCTGCTGAAGGTCTTTCCTCTGCTCCCTAGGACCCCCAAGTTCTCTCCTGCCTCTGAAGCTCTGCATACTCTATTTCTCCTTCTGCCTGCAAAGTTCAACCATTTTCCACTCTCACCCTCCTTCATTTTACCTGACTAGTAAATTCAGATGAGATGTCTCCTTTATGGGAAGGCCTTTGCTGACCACTCTAATCCTCTTGGGTGCTCCCATGGCACCCTTGACCTACCCCTGGCATTACTTATCACACCCAACTGTAGCCACAAGTCCACCCCATCCATGTGTCCTCAAAGATATCATTCTGGGGACAGGGGTTGTACCTTTCTCATTGACAGTACATAGTAAGTACTCAGAAAATGTTCATTTAGTGAATAAATAACAGCAGGATTAAAATAGAAGCGATTTTTTTTTTCAAAAAACTAGCTTTGATATGCAATGCATTGAAGGTGGCAGGATCATAATTCTCTGCCCCCTACTTCGCTATCCTGCCTCCATCAGGGCTCTGACTTCCATTCTCACCAATCTATCATCAATGTGTGGAGGCTGGAAGGGATGTGAGAGACCACATGCTCCAGTGTTTTTCAAACTATGACATCAGAGATCCCTGTGGCCTTTCCTGCCCACCTGGGACTCTGGCAGGGGTTCAGGCTGAGCCAGTAAATTGGGAAAGAAATGGGCCACTGACTCTTATTTCAGTAAAATTGACTTTACTTAAATTGTTTTCTGTGATGGGCTGCTACTGCCCAAGGCGTCACCTGAATAGTTTCTAGATCTAATGAGGATAGTTCAGTTTCTTTATACTAAATACAATCTCTATAAGCACAGAGAAGTTAAGTGAGTTGTCTGAGGTCCGGCAGCTTCCAGTAGTAGATCCTGGTTAGAACCAGCCTATGACTCTAATAGGAGTGGTGGATAACTGGCAAATATGGGTAGAGTTCCAGTTAATTTCTGTTCACCAGGCTTTTTTTCTGCCATTTTGTAAAAATTCTTAAATATGTACTTCATAATTCATTTAACAGCAAAATTCATACAGGTGGCCAGTCTAGGTTTTCTTTGGCCATCCCCCTGGGTGGCTCTGCTGTGATGTGGAAGGCCCACATTTCTGGGTAAAGGCATGACACTTTTAATCTACTGTTCCCTTTAGCTGATTTTAGGTACAATATGGATGCATTCTGGCTGTGACTCTCTCCCTTATTGTTTCCAAACTTAAGATACTAAATGCTAAAAAGTAAATTGATCACAAATATGGGTTGAGATGCTATAGTATCCCACTTGTCAACCTAGGGCTTTGGTGAATATCGACTTCTTTTATCTTCCACGGAAGGTTATCTGATACCAGTGTGAGTCTTGCTGGTATATATGTATTGCTCATGTACGATCATTGAAGAAAACATGCTTTCAAGTGAAATACTGGTATTTCTAAGAAACAATCATAAAACTACAGAACAAATAATGCTTTGGGCACTGTTTGGAAAAGTTTCTATGGCAGAGTGACAAATTCTACAGTTTCTGTAGCACAGAGACTGGGAAAAGAGTGGAGTCCAGTTCATAATTAGCAAAGCATTCATAACTGTGTGACATTCATCAATCCTTGAGTCACTCTGTCAAGGTTTCTTAAAAAAACTGCAGTAGAAAATCCCTGTGCCCATGAAAAAGTAGACTTACAGTCCACTCCACTGTCCCCTGCCCTAGTCCCTCCAAATTGAGTTACCTGGTAGCTTCAGCTCAGAAGATTACAGAATAAAGCACCTGCCTGCATCATAGGCTGGCGGCTGGAGGCTGGCCACACTGCCCCTTCTGAAAGGCAGATTCTGAAGACTCCTCCCTCCTTTCTTAGACACCCTGGACTCTGGATTTTGCTTTCTACCTAGGATTCTCGGTGTTCCTCTCTACCTTTATGAATCTTCTAAATTCTGACCCTGTCCCTTGACCCTGACCAGGGCCCTCCCTTGCTCTGTTGCTGAAGGCATTTGCTTTGATTCTACTGTCTTGCTGGTATTGACCTTGAATTTGTTACCTGCAAGGCATTTACCTCCCAACTAGATTTCTCACTGGGCTACATCTGTCTGGCCCATTGGTGTCCACACCTGGGTTGATTCTTATATCTCACTAGAGTAAGGAGGAGTGGAGACAAAGTTGTTTTCTATATCTGGGAGAAGTCCAGTACCTCTGCTGGCCTTGTTGAATGAGTAAATGAAGGAATGAGGCTGGTGTGAAAGCCCAGCCACTGAATTGCCTGTGGACATGTGCATATAGTCCACACCCAGGCACCAAGCAGTAAACTAGAAAGACCCAGGCACGGTTGGGACTGACTTGTTTAACCTTAGCTTCTGATTCCAGGGTGTACACAGGGAGGAGAGGGCTTATGAATAAGACAGGTTATTTTCCTCCATAAAATAACTCTGTCCTTCTCCCTGTGGAGGTTGGGGGTATCTAAATCCACTCCCATCCTAGGATCCACTCCATATTTTAGGCATGGCTGGGAGTTGAAGGCATTTGCTTTGATTCTAACTTTGAAAAATGAACTTAGATCCCTTCCAGACAAAGAGAACGAGAGTTCACTATGATTAGTGTACTACTTGTTAAACAGGAAGTGACTATCTTGACAAGGATTAACTTAAGATGTGGGTCAGTAGGACAGAAGTGGGTCAGTGAGTGACACAGGGCTAGGAGGAGGCTAGATCTCTCCAGGGATAACAATTCCATCCTCTAAGAATGCCATCGATTCTGTTCAGAGGAGAAAGTATATAAATGCATATATTGTGGGTATATGGTCATGTATTTGTTTCAATTAACGGTTCAGCCAACTATGCTCATTCCACAGAGTGATTTTATTTACATAGGTCTGTGCACAGAGGTCTGATTTCTATGGTGATATGAGTTTATGTTTTTGAGCTAAACATGTTGGGGTTGCTATTTTAAGCACCTTACATGGATTAACTCAGAATCCTCATGGTAAGCTGTGAGAGAGGTATCATTATTGTGTTCATGTTTACATGAACTTGACACACTAAGAACTTAAGCAGCCAGTAAAGAATCTGTACCCTAAATAATTAGACCACATGTACTACTGCTCAATATAGACCTTAGACTAAAGAGTTTCTGGAAAATATATAGAGGATATTAAATTGAAAGTCCCCTATCTTTACTGATTCTAGGACCTGGAAGTCCAAGGCTTAGCTTTTGTAGAGATGCAAGGGTTCAGGATTAATTGTGCATTGAGTTCTATAAAACCTTTTTTTGGAATTATTGACTATGGGTATAATTACTTATAATGACAGCAAATACTGTAATTACACCAAATGACATAATTTGTGTAAATGTGGTACATATAAGGGAATCACTAGATTGCATAATTGTGCCACCATGATGAGGTTACAAGCTTCCTGTTTAAATTAGATAAAGGTGTATATAACCACAGAGCACAGATTTTGAGTTTGGTGGTGACAGTAAGGAACTATTTAGAAGCTGGACAAGATAAAATAAATTTCACTCTAAATACTTTTTTTTTGTTTTTGGTACCAGGAATTGAACCCAGGGGCACTTAACCACCCAGCCGCATCCACATCCCCAGCCCTTTTTTTATATTTTATTAGAGACAGGGTCTCTCTGAGTTGCTTAGTGCCTCGCTAAGTTGCTGAGGCTGGGTTTGAACCTGCAATCCTCCTGCCTCAGCCTCCCTAGTCACTGGGATTATAGGCATGTGTCACCACACCCAGCTTTACTCTAAACACTTTTAGAGGTATTTTGAAAAATATATTTTTGTTTTTCAAAATCACATATATCACTAAGGGATATATTAAGCCCAAGTGGAATTGGTCTCCCCATCTTCTCTGTAGATCAGATGAGACAAATCTTAAATGAGCACATGCTTGGTGAGAATGTTCTACTTTGCCACAGGACCCATTAAATGATAGGATTCAGCCATTTCAGTTAGGGTAAGGTATCTTAAGGTATCATAAAACAGAATTCCAGGAAACAGTCCCAGCTCCTGGACCTTGAGCATTAACAGTGCTAAAGTGTATATGTTGAATGTCCCCAGAGGTCCATGTGTTAAAGGGTTGGTCCCGAGGGTGGTGCTACTGGGAAGTGGTGGAACATTCACAAGGTGTGGCGTAATGGGAGATCCTTGGTCACTGGGAGTATGCCCTTAAGGGGGTTTGTGGGACCCTGACCACTTCCCTTCTTTGCCCCTGGCTCATGATGTAAGGAGCTGTGCTCTCCCATATTCTCATGCTATGGGGTGCTGCATTACCACAGACCAAAGCAGGGACAAGTGAACATAGACAGGAACGTCTAAAACTCAGCCAAAATAAGCCTTTTATCTTTATAAGTTGACTATCTCTGGGTATTTTGTTATAGTTCTGGATAGCTGACTAAGAGTTTAATGGCAAATAAAGATCATCTCTAACCACTAAACCAATTTGGTTAACATAGCCTTACAAAAACATTATTAAAACTTACCAGCCTCTTACATTGGCACAAAAATTAGAGCATATTGCATAAGGGATCTAGGCCTAGAGAAGCTAGGTGATGGTAGAGAGCAGCAGTATATCATGAAGGTTCAGAAGCACCACTATGAGTGATTGTCAGGTTTGGAACACATATTCTATAGAACTAATATATAATATACATTTGGAATATTTATTATATAGAATTAATTATACATACACAGAGCTATAATATAAGTATGTGTGTGAGTACATATATATGCACACAGAGCTATATAGTTTACACACATATATTTAACTTAGTGTGGACTTTAAAAAGGGAATATAAATATATATGGAGTTATATTTCTTGTGGAACAGAATTAATTCACAGGTAAGGACTTCTGAGCCTACAGTTTACATTGTTTCTAAAATTTTCATGTTATAAAGACTATATATATACTGCTCATGAGAAGGGAAAAACAAATTTCTGAAGTATTTTCATTATACAAGACCGAATAGTTTTAAGTTAATTTTGTAAGTATATTTAAAAAATTGGCATAATTATCATTATAGTAAAGTAAGATGGATTTTTCTTATATTTGGGGGATAAATATAAGACAAAAGCTCACAGAGAATTTGTTCTTCTGACGTTATTGAATCTTAGAAGTGAAAGAGATACTAAGGTCACTTAATTCGACTCTTAATGGGATCACATAGTAACCAGAAATAAAGAAGCATAATAATTCCAACTTACAGGCTTTGGAGTTTTCCATGGAGAAAAGAAACCTGCAATAAAGAAAACAATATTTGAACTTTGAAAATTATACCCCACTACCACTAATGGATGGTGTGATATCAAAATAATTGTAATTCACTTTAAATTATCTAATAGCAACAATAACACCACACCAAAAATCTGGTATGGTCTTCTTCAAGGAGTTCAAATATTTTCATTGGAATTATATTAATTATTTAAAGAAGATTTCCTTATTTGGCAACTGAGAATTCCGAGGCAAAGAGAAGGTAAATAACATAAGTGGCAAAGAGCTGCTTCAGAAGTTCCCAAACTGAGTTGTCCTTAGGGATTGTGTCACCTAGTCTTAACAGGAGAGAGAGAACATATAGATAGAAATTTAGGTTTTTTTTTTTGTGGTAAGTATCTCTGTTTAGTGTAAGAAATGATTCTGCATTATGTACTTGCTTTCTACAGTTAAAAATCAACCAGACTTTGTCATTCTTAAATTTAAGAAGAAGGTTCATACTTCTGCTAGGAATCAAATCTCACTATGAATTTGTATGTGGCTCTTCCCCCACTGACATCTTCTCTAGGGCAGATTTTTATTATCCTTCTACACCAGGGCAAGCACAAAGTTATACACAAAGAAGCTCATTTTTGTTTGTTAACTGAATAAACTGTATACTATCAAAAGGTATAACATTAAAAAACTTATTGAGCCCTTTAAACGACCACAAATGGTCTGACAATTAGACAGACTCTAGATTAATTCCTTTTCTAAAACCTTTTATAATATATAGAATCAGTTTCTAAAGAGGTGCTAAAAACAGACTTAAAAATGCTGTAGGGAGGAGGCTGGGGTTGTGGCTCAGTGGCAGAGCGCTTGCCTAGCATGTGTGAGGCTCTGGGTTCGATCCATAGCCCACATAAAAAAATAAATAAATAAAATAAACTTATAAAAATACATATTTTAAAAAAATGCTGGAGGGAGCAGGGATGGACACATACTGGTCCTAACTATCTAAAACTCAATCTAGTATATAAAGCAAAACTACTTTCTTCTCATATCATATCTTTCCTCTTCCAGCAATGTTAGCTCCTGTTAATATTCAGTGAGGTTTAAAAATGTTCAATAAAAACAGAATATTGAAAATATGCCATATACTATCTTTATCATCTTTAAAACTGAGATGTCCAAAATGAGAATAGATGACAACCATAACTCATTTACAGGAAATATCTACAGAAATCTGGACACACAGTTACCTAGATGTTTAGGCAACCAGCTCAGCCAAGGCAAATATGCTAATTGTATATCGAGGCACCCCTGTGGTGAACAATAATTCATTTTATCAAAAGAGTGAGACTATATAATCATCATGTTTCACAGCTTTTCTTGGAACCCAGAGCTAAATTTAAAGCTCAAGTAAAGAACCATCTTAACCAAGAAGCTTGGTGGAATTAGCTTTTTATCTGTCTCATACACTGTGTTCTTGTCTCTCTTTTTTGATTAATTAAAAAAAATGTGGTTCAATGTGTGTTTTGATTATAATTTCAGGATTTAATCACATCCTTTTTGAGAAGAGTTGAGAATGCAAAGTCCAGATAAATGAATACATTTCTCTCCTGATTCATTCTGTAAAGTGCCAATGAAAAAAATTGACAATGAGTTAAAAAGTAGAAAAAATGTTAACCTGCTAGCCAATTAACCATGATTTTCAGTGAAGGATAAAATTCACTTGCTGTTTTATGGAGTTGCCAGTTTTCTTGAGAGAAGATGTCATTTACACATTTGCACAACGTCAAGACATTCACTTATCTCCCAGGTCCTCACCTACTTTCCAGAATGCCCAGACAGGTTTTGAATATCTGCTGTTTTATGTTTGTAGGGGCTGGGGATTCTTAGACTGACACAAAGGTACTGAAAATGGCTCCTCCATTATGGGGCTCTCATCTCCACATGGAAACTTATTTTAAAAAAAAATTCTTCCTATGGAAAACATCATCATCTCACTTCTCAATAGCTATAGTGTCAGAGCTGAAATGGTCCAAGAGGGAGACTGGTCAAGAACAGACCTCTCTCCATGTGAGAGGGTGCTTAATTTGACCACTTTTTATCTTTCATCATTGGCACTTTGGATTCTGATTCTTTTAAAGCTGTTTCATCCAATCTGAGCTCACACCATGGGCATGACCCAGGGCTTCTTTACTGTCCCCATTATGGTATCTTCTAGAATATCACTAATACTGAATTGAGCCACAGAGGCTCTCGTCTCTGCAGTGATGATTGCCCTTCTGAATCACTGTCAAAATAAGCTGTGTGTTGCAGACTATTCAGTAGTAAGAAAAAAGACCAGAATCGATTTTCTTAAAAATAAATAACTTATTGTAGCCCTCTGTTTTTTTTTTAGCAAATTGTTAATCATGCTATAAACATTTAAATTAAGATGAATAGAAAACATCTATTTTGGATATACTCAATTTGGTCCTGATGAAGTCAGAAGGTCAAGTTTTCTAAACGATTAAACTCCAATTTTCTGCTCAACTTCATTGGAAGAGCTATAGAAATATAACTGTGTGTGCCAAGCTATTATATATTATAAATGTACTATAATTTCTGGTGCAGATGGCCCCTTTAGTAAATCTAGTCTATTCCAGCTAACATGTAAAAAAAAACAAATTAAAAATTTTAAGTCTGTTAGGAGACATGGAGGTTATTATGTTGAGCTTATTTCTGAAATTATTCTAGTAGGAGAGGAGCACAGAAGCAAGACAAGTTTTTACACACGTACACATACATAGATGTGGTTCTTTGATGAATAGGAGAGTTTCTTCTATTAGGCACAATTACTTAAAAACTGCTATATTTTGCTCTTGTGGCTTACCTTAGGGATCACAGGAACACCATTCTCTGGGTCCCCTAAAAAAACATTAGATCTTGGCTGGTGCCTAGCCTTTCTCTGGGCTAAGCTCATTGCTGAGACAATTGCTTTGGGGCCTATCACTGCCTATCTCCATAGGGATACAGACAACTTGTTCTCAAGCCTTCATGAGGTAAGATGGTCCTCTTTACAAAAGCATATTCATAGAAAAGGAGTTTACAAACTAAATAAAATATGGGTAGGAACATAATAGAAGAGAGAGAGAGAGAGAGAGAGAGAGAGAGAGAGAGAATAAATAGTAAAATTTAGATGCATCTAATAAGGAAATTAAGATGCATTTTAATGTAAAGCCCCAAACATCATTAGGTCTCTAAAATCTATCTTCTTTGAAACAAGAAATAAAAGTGTGTGTGTGTGTGTGTGTGCGCGTGTGTGTAAAAGCCCAGTGAGCTGGGCAGAGGGACAGATACACATTGCAAATGGCTAAGATTAGACAACAAATTCTGGTAGTTCAAAAACGATAGAGGGAAAAAGACAACACTGACTTCATATTGAAATTTAAATTGAATTTTACATGCCAACTAATTACAATTTTGAGTAAACTATAGAAATATAGTTGCCAGATAAAATATAACATGCCTAGTTAAATTTGAATTTCAGATGAATTATATATTTTTTAGAATAAGTATGTCCCACATTCAGTATGAGATATATTGCATGGGATGTACTTATATAAAAAATATTTATTCTTTGAAATTCAATTAACTAGGAAATCTTGTATTTTCACTTGTTAAATCTGGCAATCCCATATAGGAAACTATTTGTACATGTCCTAGGTAACCATTTAAAAAAGTGGAAACATATATGGCAGGTAATACCCATTCAATTAAAAAAAATTTATTGCCAGGGACCTTGCTTTAGAGATACCTAAGAACATTGTGTTTGTTACATAGATCACTGAAGTTTGTTGGTTGCCTGTTTGTCAGTAACCAGGATGGACCTCTCTGGACTCAGGAAATGCAGAACTCAGTGGCCAATATGAGTGTCACAAAGGACCACTCATTTTAAGATTCCTTGATGCAGTAAACACACTGCCTATTCCAGAACAGAATGACTCATGGAGTGGTTCTTTCCAGTTGTGACTTCTACTGACATGATTCCCAACATAAAAGACTATCCATATGTTTACAGCGGCTCTGGAAAAAATGTCCCTCATAGTGTACATTTGTGTGGTAATTATTATTATTTTTTTTTGCAGGGCAGCAAGATGTGGAACTTTCTTAAAATCACCCCAATTTGAATAAGGAATTTAAATAAAATGAAGAGTAATTCTAACCCATCATTGTACCATAAATTTCGAACAATGCCAAGGTAACTTTTTGAGATTTCCAGGAATTTCCCCAAACAGAATTAAATCTTTAAGCCCGCTCCTACATCTCAGTAGATCTATAGTCCAATTCAGATATACTGAACTCCTATTGCAGAAGGTGAAATAATTTCTCCTGGAGCTGAAATGCCTACTGAAACATAGGATTCTGATTTTGAAGATTATCATTACAATTTCATGGATTTTACAGCAGATTTTAGTTGCTAAAAATGACAGAGATGCTGGGGAAACACTTTCTATTTCTCTCTCTCTCTCTCTCTCTCTTAAGCAGAAAAGTAGGAATCACTTGAAATAAAGACCTGTTTCACTGTGGATTTCCATGTCCTGCGTTATTTAGAGCTGTGTGTTCCGTTTCACTTAAAAAAAGAAGGCACACTGGTGTGACTATAGGCAACACTTCTAAACTCCACACTGAAATGCAGATGGTCCCTGACTTAGGATGGTGTGACTTACAATTTTGGGGGGGGGTCTTCATATTGGTGAAAGTGATAGGCACTCAGGAGAAACTGTACCTTGAATCTTAAATTTTGATCTCTTTCCAGGATTCTGATATGTGGTGAGATACTGTTGTGATGCTGGCCAGTGAGATGGAGCTGCAGTTCCAGTCAGCCAACCAATCACGAGGGGAAAGGACCCGACTCTACAGCATGCTGTGTCTCTAACTGTAGGTCAGGGGCGTTGGCTCCAGTTTGAACTTACAATGGGTCTCTCATGATATAACCTCGTCCTAAGTCCAGGGGCATCCATATGATCAAGAAGGTAATTTTTGGGGGTATATTTT